TAGTATTAATTAATATTTACAATTATTATTAATTACAATTATTTATAGCTTAGTTACTTTCATGTAACTCGCAATCATACATTCTTAACTTTAATAACCCAAATTAGCACATCTTGCTTTTAAATTAGCCCAAATAGTAGCAAGTAGCGAAATTAAAAATTTGGGAGCGCGGGCTCTCAAAAGTAGCCCAATTCGCTATTTGTAGTCCAATCTGGCAACACTGACTGGGTCAATCCTGCATTTTCTTCTATGTCGTTCACTCCAGTACGTTGTTATTTTACTGTGTAGATTTGGGACCTGTCCCTCCAGTATTTTCCTCGTGTATATTATTTGGTATCTCTCTCATGTCCTTTTTAGAGAGTACATTTGGAGAGCTTTGAGATGATCCCAATAATTTAGGTGTTTTATCTCGTCTATGCGTGCCGAATATGTTCTCTGTATTCCCTCTATTTCAGCAATCTCTCCTGCTCTGAAGAGGAAAGTGAGTACTGAGCAGTACTCGAGACGGGACAACACAAGTGACTTGAAGAGTACAACCATTGTGATGGGATCTCTGGACTTAAAGGTGCTCGTAATCCATCCTATCATTTTTCTGGCTGGCGCAATACTTGTTTGGTTATGCTCCCTAAACGTTAGGTCGTCAGACATTATTATTCCCAAATCCTTGACATGCTATTTTCCTACTATGGGCAGATTCGATTGTGTTTTGTACCCTGTATTATGTTTCAGATCCTCATTTTTGCCGTACCTGAGTACCTGAAATTTGTCATTGTTAAACATCATGTTATTTTCTGCTGCCCAATCGAAAACTTTGTCGATATCTGCTTGTAATTTTTCAATGTCTTCAGCAGAGGTAATTTTCATGCTGATTTTTGTGTCATCTGCAAAGGATGACACAAAGCTGTAGCGTGTATTTTTGTCTATATCTGATATGAGAATAAGGAACAGTGGTGGTGCAAGGACTGTACCTTGAGGTACAGAGCTTTTAACTGCGCTTGGACTCGATTTTATTTGATTGACTGTTACTCTTTGTGTTCTGTTCGACAGGAAATTGAATATCCAGCGTCCTACTTTACCAGTTATTCAAATTGACCTCATTTTGTGTGCTATCACCCCATGGTCACATTTATCGAATGCCTTTGCAAAGTCTGTGTATACAACATCTGCATTTGACTTTTCTTCTAGAGCTTCTGTGATTTTGTCATAGTGATTGAGTAACTGTGACAGACAGGATCTTCCCGCTCTAAATCCATGTTGTTCTAGATTGTGTAGCTCATTATTTTCCATAAAACTAGAAATTTGATTCCTACTCACTTTTTCAAACACTTTTATTATGTGTGATGTTGGTGCAACTGGTCTATAATTTTTTGCCAAGGCTTTATTCCCCCATCCCCTTGTGAAGAGGAGCTATATCTGCAGATTTAAGTGCTGCTGGTATCTCCCCTTTATCCCGGCTCTTTATCCATATTAAGTGCTCGCGCTATTGGTACTTTACATTTCTTAATGAATATTGAATTCCATGAGTCAGGCCCAGGAGCTGAGTGCATGGGTATATTGTCAATTTCACTTTCAAAGTCTTCCGAGTTCGTGTTAATATCAGTTATATTATCTGCAGCTTGAATGTCATTCATAAAGAAGCTGTCTGGGTCATCAACTTTCATGTTGTTTATTGGTGTGCATTCATACAAAACATAGCCTCATTCTCGCTTCTTAGAATTTCACTAATCTCTTTGTTGTCCTCTGTGTACGTACCTTCATTTGTAATTAACGGTCCAATACTGGTCGAGGCTTTTTATTTTGATTTTGCGTATGTGAAAAAATATTTTGGATTGGATTTTTCTTTATCTCTTGTATAGCTTTCTGTTCCAATTCCATTTCCTCAGACTCATATGATCGCTTCAACATTTGTTCTATTTCTTCGATCTCCCTGCTTAGGTTTATTTTTCTTTCTTATGATAGTTGTGTCCGCCGAAGCATTTCCGTTATTTTTTTCCTTCTCCTGTACAGCCGTCTGCGTTCTCTTTCTAGAGTGGTCATCTTTCTGACCCCTCCTCACAGTGTCTTCTTTAATATACACTTGAACTTGAACTTTAATATACAGACCTACTCCTCCATTTGACCTAGTTTTTCTATCACATCTGTATAAATTATAATTTGGAATCCAGATTTCACCATCCATGTAATCTTTTGTATGAGTTTCCGTGAATGCCCCAAATATTGAGTTTGACTCTAATAAGAGGCCATTTATGAACTTAACTTTATTTCTTGACTTTGGCTTTAAACCTTGAATGTTTGCAAATATGAATGATTGTCCATATTGTGTGTCACTTCTGGAAGGTTTTGGTAGTTCTCCCTCCTCTCTACCCTGACCCAGGATGTGTTGTTGTGGCAATGGTTTGTCCAGTTTTGGAAGTGATACTGAGGAATGTGGTAGTCTCTGTGTAGTTGCGGGGTGTAGTATGTGTGGGCTTGATGACGAACCGTAGTCCAGTCTTGGGCATTTCCCCCCTCTCCTCCGTACTCCTGCAACGTTTCTGTCTGTCTGTTTCTCCCTCTGTTTGCATTGTTCTACAAATTGCATTGCATTGCTCTAATATTCACTTGAACTCCAAACCTTTCCTGATATTCTAAAAAAGAAGCAAGAGTAACTCCAGTCCATAAAAGTGGTGGTCTCACCGAAGTCAACAATTTCAGACCAATATCAGTCCTGCCATCACAAATATCTGAAACGTTAATCTATAAGCAGCTCTACTCCTGTCTAACAAAACACAATATACTTAGCTCAAGGTAAGGTAGCTAATATGTCTTCCGACCCCACCTCAAAAAAGCATCAATGAAACTTTTATTTTTATTTATTTATTATTGAAGCCACCTTTGAGCTCCAGTTGATTTTCTCAATGATATATATCACGTTAGTGTAATTTTTCTGTGTAAATAATAATAAGAAGAAAAAGAATTAATAATAATAATAATAACAATATTATATTTATTTAAAGTGCTTACTTATGACATATAGTACGGTGGATAATTCGTAGGCTAGAGACGTATATTACATAAAACCATTACATACGTATAGCGTTTTCAGCATGACGTGTTAACACGATTAGGAAAGTAGATTTCCAAGATTAAGGGAGTAATACTTAAAACTAAATGAAAAGTAAAGTAATCTATTTTTAGCTGTTAAAGATATATATAGCAAATGATTTACAATTTTTAAGTGATATTTATAAACTGCCATTTTATGCGACACTACAAATAAAATCATTAATGTTGACAATAAGAGCCAAACACAGGTTGACGTGTAAGATGAGGGAAATGTGAATTAGGTATTTCCTAGTTTCTTCTTTAAACTGATTGAGAGAAGTAGAGTTTTAATCTCATTGGGGAGGTCATTCATCCTTTACTTGCATGGCATTTCTGCTTTGGTTAGATCGCACACTTGAAATATCAAATAGACATTTGTCTCTAGTGAGGTGCCTATGGGTTCTGTTACAGCCTTCTAGGAATCGCTTAAGGTCACTTGATTCATCACTTGAGAATGTGGGTAGTGACTTGAGATTTCTCATTCATAGATTTCAGTAAGGGAGCAGAACGCTGTCTGGAACTGGAATTTGTTATTGTTCTAAATGGCTGATTATTGTTGAGTAATTACGGGTCGAAAGTAATTTTGAGTGGTAGTCCCACAGCCACAAATACCGTAGGTGAATATAGATAGTTGTGGATCCCCAGGCGAAGATGCCGTAGGTGACATAAAAGTGTTCACACTATAATTGGAGCTATAACACTTTTTGCTTTTTTTTTTAAATATATACATATTAGGGTTGGTATCGGAGAGGTGACTTGATTTAGCTTTACGTGCGTGGATTTTATCTGAGGGCCACCATCTGTTTAGTGGCTATGACAGAGACAGTAAGCCGGCGACTTGTCAAAGGTCCTCAATTTTATCATGAATATTTTTTTTTACAGCTGGATTTTTAATTGAGTAATGTCTTAGCGTTTACAGCTTCAGTGAGTGTATAGAAGATTCCATATGGTTTATAATAATCATTTGCGAGGCCACTAGAGTATTAGTGGCCCTGAGGTAAATTTTATTAACACATATAGGTACATCTGCATTTGTACAACTACCTAAACTATATGAAGGAGAGTACAGAGTGTGCCAAGAGTGTGTATACACTAATATACATATACATATAGGTTTCGGATCTAAAAAAAATCATTGCTTTTTATAATGGTACGTTCAGACCTTTGGGAGTCATTAATTTCTCTTCTAATGGACCTGGGTGCTTGGAACAACATAGTCTTGACAACACAGATGGGAATACCTAGGTCCAATTCAACTTCTTTCTTGAATTAGACCGTTATGATTGTTATTTATTTATTTATTTATATATATACAAGAAGGTACATTGGGTTTGTGAGAATACATTGGATAGTACAGTATTTACATTTTTGTAAAGCCACTAGTACGCACAGCGTTTCGGGCAGGTTATGATGGATAATGATTCATTTATATAGTCTACGGCATAATCTCGTATATTTTCCCAAACATATAGGCCGAGTGAATAATTCTTGAGAATCTAGAGCATGTATACCTGAATGTATTACTCTGTGTAGGCTGTTGGGGAAATCATCTTCAATGTAGCTCATCACATTATCGACAGCTCATTGGCGTGAATGTCTTTCATTGAAAGATTAAAGGTCGGTCACTATAATGTTAATTGGTGTTGGATAACTCATGCTTATGAAGTTCTGGCCTTGCTGGTGGGGGTGGTGGAAGCCTCTGCTCTATTATAGGATACTGACCACATACTCCTTGTTGAAAAGTTTAATCAATGATACCTGATTTTGTTAATATAACAACATTACAAATCACACGGTTGAAACATAGAGACAAAACTAGCAAATGCTAATAACCATTAAGGCAGGTGAGAAGAAAGGAGAAGAGCAAAAAATAGCCAATGATGAGGGTATTACTAAGATTTGGCACATGTGCAGGACAATCGAGGAGCACGTTGGCTTACGCATTCCATTTAAAAGAAAAAGTAAATCACTTTATGTTTTTATGCTAAGAACAACCGCTATACATTCGAGACATTCATTCTGTGACCTGGCACAAGATAGCTCTCTATTGTTCAGTTCCAAGGTGATGGCTTTAGGTGGGTATCCCCCCCGTAGCAGGATGTAAACAGCAACGTGCTCGTCGACTGGGAGTACGCAGCACTGCTTTACTCAATGGAGTGTTGAGGAGGGCGGTGTTTTCGTTGGGATATAGCGAGAATGGTGGAAGGCAAGGAGGTGTCGCGACTAGCTGGGCAGGAGGAGGAAGAGGAATGGGTCACTGTGCTCACAGAAGCCCGACATTTAGAGCCGATCACTGCACCCAACACGGCAGCCCATTCATGGAGGCTGAAGGAACGAGTAAGGGGGTCGTGCGTCACACATGATTAAATTGTTAATGTGTTTTGTACTTTGTCAGCTTATTATATTATGTTGGCCGCCTTTAATGGTTCATTTTCCAGTCAACTCAACAAATGATTGGTAAATCGTGCATCTTTATTGTACCATTCAAGGCTGGGTGCTGGCAACATCTTACACAGCCATTTCACACACCTCCCTTTAGTTTAGAAATTTTCAGTTTTAAAACAGCACTGTATTTGTTGTATTTAATAGTGTTTGTTCACCCACATTACTCAATGCTGTGTTGATCATACATTATTGTGGTTTAGGTTAATTGGGATTTAAAGTATTTTATTGAAACCTGTAAAGTGACCTGTATACTCCAGAACTATATTCTGCAATTGTTAATCAAGTTTTTTAGTTCTTGCTTTCATTTAAGGTCCAGTTCATGTTTCAGGGCAGAAATTCTTGTTTCTTGTTGACTGCTTTGACTAATATACTTAAATGATATGTTGTGTGTGTGTTATGTAAATGGCAGTGTTTCATTCTGCTCTCCAAGACAAAGGTCTCAAAGTAATCATAAGTATTTTGTTATAGTACAGTTGGGTTATAGGCAAAAGGTTCCAGGTTCAATTCCTATTGCAAAACAGAAGCTTTTGGGCAATGCTTACTTTCACCTGAAGCGTTTGCATACCTAGTAGTAAATAGGGGAGGGGGGATTGCATCCTGGGTGAAGGTCAGGAGTTGGTCCAAAGGAGCTTATTAAGCTTAACAGCCCTCCTGTCCATGACAATGGGAAACCACAGCCTTAATTTACCTGAGGGCCATCATCTCTTTAGTGGCCTCAATGGGGACAGGAAGTTAGCAGCTTGTCAAGTCCTCTCCCCCCTCCCCCCCATTTTTCCTGATAATTTTATCAGTTGGATTTTGAACTGCAGTACTATCTTGGCATTTATGTCTTTGACAGTTAAATAGTTCTATGGGTTTATAACCCAGTGGGTGAAAAAATGGGGGAAAAATGTCCTACATTGAGACTAGAGCCATTGCCACTTGTACATGTCACATTTAACCTTTTAAAGAAGTGGCCTAGGCCAATATTCTCCAAATTGTTCAATATTTTAAAAGTTTTGATTAGATTGACCTTGTCATGTCTGGTTTGCAGTGTTGTTGGTTCTGTGGCCCTCAACTGTTCCTTGTAAGAGAGTCAACTCTCGAGAGAGTTGTGGGATGATCTCTGTTGCCTGGTGGTGATGATGATGATGATGTCACTGTGCATGGATACAGTAGTCCAAATGGGGGCACACTAAGAGATTTGCATAGTTGAATAACTACCTTCTTTTCCTTGAAGTCAAAGAGTTGTTTGATTATTTTTAGGGTTTGGTTGGCTTTTTTATTTTTTTTGTTTTTTTTTGCTCCCAATTGTAATGCAACTTTCAATGACCGACTCCAAGGTCCTTTTCTTCATCAATTTGCTGCAAGGTTATGTTGCTGATTTGGTAGTTGCAATGTCCATAGTTATACCCCACATACAAGGTCTTGCATTATTCAATATTAAAAAGCTTTTGCCCGTTTTTTGACCACTTGTTGAGTTCATGTAAATCTCTTTGTACAGCTTCAGTATCACTTTCACTTCCTACTTTATTACCATTTAGGTCTTTGCGTCATCTGCAAATTTTATTATGGCGGGTACATGGGGCTCACGAAAGCTTTCTCAGGCCTCCAGCAACCATCTTTCATATTGAAAAAATCCTGAGTTACTTGCTCCCCTTATAGTGCCTTAGTAAAATTATGTGAACATGTGGCTTGTCTTGCTAAGGGTGCACATATTTTGTCCTGTTGCTGTGGTGCGAAATTATTTGAATGTCACCCGAACTGTGGTAGATGCTTTTTTAATCCACTTTCCCTGGCTTTTTCTAAGGCTTGTTTTCCCAGCCTTGGGTTTATTCCTAGTTTTATGATCAATGAAAGTTTGTGGCTTTGTAGGCTTTGCCAATTTGGCTATGGTGAATATCCATGCTTTCCTGGCAGTCCAACTGGGTGTTGACCTTTTATTAGTTGTATGCCACATGGCCATGCTTGTGTTGTGCTCCGGTGTCTAGCCCTGCACTTAGTGAATGTACAGTACCTATGACCTGTTTCTTCAACCACCTTTCTCACTGGGTACCAGATAAATCCTTGCTGTCTCGCAGTGTTGCTGGCTTTCACTGAAGAAGCTCGGACGAGGAAGCCCTCCCAGAAATTCGGTATTAAATGTAATGAAAGTCTTCTCTGGTGGACCTCTCGATAGGTCTCTTTCCCACTTGCTCCCTTTCTTCCACATGGTGCTGAGGTTGGATGGGTTTGAGATGGCTCATGAATGAACTGGCTGGTAGACCAAGGCTCTAAGTCACCATGAATTTCCATCTTATGGTGTGTAAGTGTAGCTAGGCAGTGATCTCACTATAGAAATGTTTGTTTGCATAGTTTTATTGGGGTAACAATTTATCGCTTGTTATAGAGTGTTTTGACTTTCTGGTGGATCTTTGCTCAGTTTTGTAGTGATTACTGATCCTCGGTCTTCCCATTGCCTCTTTGAGGAGCCAGATTGTGCTCCTGATCTCTGGAAAGTGTTTTTGTAATGCTTGGTTACTTCCAGGTTGTAGCTTGGGATGCTACTGAGTGGCCCCTAAGAGAGAGGTGTTTCATTACATTCATCACTTTATTTATTTTGAAGGTTTTCATGGATTCCTTAATGTACTCATCTGTATGTGGAGAGATCTGGTAAACTTGTTTATGTGCAGGAGTTTAAGGCTCAAAATTTGTTCTTAATCCATGGATCAAAGCATATAGTAAATATACTGCAGTTTGCACAGTTTGAGCAAAAGATGCTCAGAAATCAGGACTGTAACTTTACTTTTATGTGTTATAATTTGCATTATAAATATATAAATAAAATTACTATAAATAAAAATTGAATAAGAGCAAATAAATGGCTGCATGTATTTTTAAAATCATTGTACTGTTTGTTTACATGTTCTAAGGTTTTATTCAGATTGTGTTAACCTGGGGAGAAAAGAGGGTGCTTGCAATCACCTAGTTAAAATCTATTCCCTTTTCCTCGGCTATGCCATTTCAGTTAAAAAAAAACACTGCATATAACTTAGAATGGTGTTCTTTCAGATGAAGACAGTGAGTGTGGCTCTAGTGCTCTGCCTCAATATACCCGTAGACCCTCCTGACATTGTTAAGACGCAGCCATGTGCACGTTTGGAGGCTTGGATAGGTGAGCATCAACTTAATATTGTAACATAAACCAATTTTTGTGCTGTTTAGCAAATGGAAATAAATAGTACTATAAGAAATTAATGCTGCTGATTCATATAATATAATACCGTATTACAAATATTATGATATTTAATGATGCATTAAAGTATATATATATATACTGTATATATACTATTTTTATATTCTTTCTTGACTATACAGTATTGTGTTTTATTGCATAGTAAAGTATAGTATCTGTATATATATATACTGTATGCATGTTATATTATGCATTGATAGACACATTTGAGGTGCCTGAAAGGCAATGTTCAATATTACCAACAATTTAGCATCCTTGGAAATATCGAACCATTATAAATAATGAGCTAAGTATACCTCCATGATGCTCCCCAAATTGAGTTAATATTTTACTGTATATAATGTATGATAAGGATTGTCTGTAACATTGTGATTTTGCTTTTCAAAGTAACCATTAACATAGACATGAGCTTGTACAATTCCACTATAGCTAATTTATGTTTCCATAATTTTCTCTTCTAAATTATCTCTTGAATTTCACATTTTCCCAAAACAAAAATTAATGCTTGCATTTAACTGTTATTTAAATTGTTAATCTTGAAGTAAAGCTATCTTCGATTCTTGTACATGAACTAACATTCAGTATTTTATTTTGATAGCATTTCCAGCTTCAATAATTATGATAAACCTCAGCACATTTTTAGGCATGTAAGATGTCAGTATTTTGTAATGTGTTTTATACATGTATATTACCTGGTTGATACCTGGTTGATGGGGTTCTGGGAGTTCTTCTGCTCCCAGAGCCCGGCCCGGGGCCAGACTTGACTTGTGAGAGTTTGGTCCACCAGGCTATTGCTTGGAGTGGCCCACAGGCCCACATACCCACCACAGCCCGGTTGGTCCGGCACTCCTTGAAGGAAGGAGTGTATCATATCATATGTATCAAGAGAAGTATCATATTACTTTAAAAAAATCTGCAATTTTTATCGGGTAATTGAAAGTTTGTATATCCCACAGATCCACTGTCCATGCCTCCTGCTAAAGCTATTGAAGCCATTGGAAATAGCCTTCAGAAAGCTTATGAACGATGGCAGCCAAGGGCCCGTTACAAACAATCCCTTGATCCCACCGTGGATGATGTTAAAAAGTTGTGCATGTCTTTAAGGAGAAATGCAAAAGAAGAACGAGTCCTCTTCCACTATAATGGTCACGGGGTGCCGAAACCAACAACAAATGGTGAAATATGGGTGTTCAATAAGGTATATGTTACAGAAATGAGTAGGGTTAAAAATTATTAACATAATTAAGGTGTATTAATCAGAACTCCTTCCCTCATTCTTGATAAGCATGTGAAGATGTTAAAGTAAATTTTAAAGGCAAAGAAGAATGAGTGACAAAGGAGGAAAGTGTAAGTAATGTATATGTTCCATTATCATAAGAACATCAGAATAAAAGAAACTGCAGAAGCCCTGTTGACCCATATAAGATAGTTCTTATTATATATATCCACCCTTACCTATTCATATATTTATATGTTTTAACGTTTGCTTAAAATAATCAAGTGATCCCATGTCGATTGTGTTACCCAATAATTTGTTTCATAAATCATACACCATATTTCAAAACCACTATATACTCAGATCTTTTCTGAATTTAAACTTATCCATTTTATCTCCATTGTTTCTGGTTCTAGTGTTTCATATTTTTAACTTTTTCATTAGGTGTAAAATACACTTAAGGGATATTGAAAAGTTGGAGAAAAGTGAAATACACACATTTAAGAATTAAGGAAACTGCAGAATACTTATTGGCCCATACAAGGAAGTTCTTATTTATAACCAGTCGAACTCCATCATATATCTAAACTTCGCTTGAAAAACACTTGTGATCCCACATCTATTATGTTAGCCTATAATCTGTTCCATAAATTAACAGCCTTGTTTCCATACCAGCATTTACCCAGGTCTTTCCTATATCTAAAACGTGTCCAGTTTGCATCCATTGGTTTCGTGTTTTATTTTGTGTTGCTATATTTAACAGCATGTATATATATTTGTATCGTGGTTTCTACCTCTTTGTAACTTGAAGTATTGTACTGTACCCATGTCCTGTTAAGTAAGCTGTTATTTTGTGAAAAAATTATCAGCTGCAGAGGAGCCCAATTTCTTAATTGTTTTGTTGCTGTACCTAAGCTGTCATGTTTCAAGATAAGTACTGTACCAAGTACATTTTTACAATAAAACATTTTGGAATATACTTCGGTCAAAGTGGTCTTTACTAAAACTACCAAAGTAATACTTTTCAGTGCTTCCTTTCTATAAACTGTATTTTAATACACAGAAAAAAATAGAGTAGTGCATTTTTCATTGCACTAGAGTTCCCCAAATCTCATAATTTTGTGTAGTGTAGGTGGCTACATGGATGAGTAGAGTTGGGCACATGGTTGTGTAGAGTAGTTGGGTACATGGTTGTGTAGAATAAGAGGGAACATGGCTGTGTAGAGCAGTGGGGATTTGGTTGTATAGAACAAGAAGCCTTGGATTAAATTTGTTGACATTTTGATTTAGAAAATAGGGTAATAATGGTTTGGATATAGAACTGCAGATTTCTGGAACAAGCAGCTAAGAAACATCATAGAAGCTAATTCACTGCAAAGCTTCAAGTATTGATTATGTTAAATAAGTGCATTGGTGGTAGTGATTGGATGTGCGTGGGATCTTTGTTTGGTGTTGGGCTCGAGGTTACTATCCTCACCACTGTTGATTAACCACCAAGTATGATTTAGTCCTGAACATAGTTTGTGACTAAAGTAAATTCACACTAATTCTAAAAGTAGATTTGAACTTTATTCAATGGTATTTGTGTATTATATTGTTTTTAATCTTTTATTTTTTTCTTAAATTTTCAGAGTTATACTCAGTATATACCCCTGTCCATTTATGAACTGCAGACATGGATGGGTGCACCTTCCATATATGTCTATGACTGTTCAAATGCTGCAGTCATTGTGAAATTGTTTGAGCAGTTTGCAGAGCAACACGAAGAAGAATGGAGGGTAAGTACTGTACTATTTTCATTCACTTCATAATAACTCTCTTCTCGATATGCTTTCTGAATGGTTCTGTTTTAGATTTTTCAGCACAAATTTTAGAATTTGTACATTCCTTGTCCCACATCCTGGGAACTATGTTCCAGGGTCGCCAAGTGGTTTCCAGTGACTGCTCATTTCCCTGGATCTTCAAGAATTGTTTTTGGCGTGTTTCCTTCCACCTTTGAGATCGGGGAATGGTTGGGGTTCAGAGTGAGGCATCTCATGTACTACTATTGGGATCTAACATTTGGTCTGAACCTGGCTCTCAGAATCTTCATCAGATTGACGCAAGTGGTTCATCAGCATCTTCATCTGTTGAGGTTCCGGGTTATGGTCTACCTCAACGACTGGATGGTTTGTGCCCCCTGTCGTTCAGCTTATCTGCTGGTCAGAGGTAGGATTCTTGCCTGTTGGCCTGCTTTGGCTTTCTGGTAACCTGGCAGAAGCCTCAGCTGATGCCTTTTAAGGTTTCGACTTGGTTGGGCCTAGTGTGGTATGTCAGCATGGTTGCCCCTCTCTTACATGGTTTGTCTTGTCTGGTGTTCCTCCATTGCCAGTTTATACTGACAAGGTCTTGACTTTCTTGTCGGAACCTGGAATGCCACCTGGGCATCCTGAACTTCACTTACATTGTTTAACCTATAGGCTGGGACTTGCTGAAGGCACTATGCAATATTCTCTGATAGGCATTCTTTTAGTCCATTCAACACCATAGGGCATGTGCCCAACCTCTTTGGGCTTGTTAGGGTTCAGTTCTGTGGTGCCCTCCTCCTGCTCTGTTTCCTTGAGCAGTTCATCGGACCATGGTTGGGGACTTGTCTCAAGCTGTCACAATGCCAGTCAAGAACAATGGGATGCTTGCTTGTGGTGGGTTCACATCACGGTCTGGAAATTTGTGATGGTTTAGATGAAGAAATCAAACCACACTGTGACAGCATGGCTCAGTTTTTCTTACCCTGTGGGGTTGTACTTTGCAGATGGACTGGCTTCTAGCTTCTTGAGATTATTCCTCAAAGTTGTTCATATTTGGGACGTGCTGAACGTCCTCATGACTTTGTGTGTCATTCACCTGTCCACATGTTGACCTGTTAGCCTCTGGGTGTAATATGTAGTCACTTTTGTAGTTCTCTTCCTTCGGGTTCATTATCTCCTTCCTATGTTGGTCAGGTTGGTGGCATTATCAGCAGAAAGTTCATCTCAACTCCTATGTTGCTGGTTCAGTTCTATTTTCTTGCTCTTCTGGTCTGTTATCTTTGTCCTCTTCCCTTACCAAACCTGTCTCTCAGAGTGAATTGGCTGCACAATCTATCTGGATGGTTTGAGGCTCTCCACCAAGCCTAGTAAATATAGTTTTAGGCCTCATTGGAGTCATGAAAACATGCAATATTGTAAAGAGAAAACTCTCTTTTCTGCTGAGAATTAATATAGCATTGGGATAAGAAGTGATTGTATATAGTATTAGAAACTAAACAAAAAATGCAGGTGAATAGTGCAGCTAGTTAAATACCATGTAAATACTGTATCTTGTTATATTGTATTATCTTTGTATAGCAGAAAGGCAGTAGTGGAAGTAGCAGCCCCCCTCCTCCTCCATCCTTCCGGCAATGTATTCAACTTGGAGCCTGTGGACCCAAAGAAATACTTCCCATGAACCCTGATCTTCCTGCGGATGTCTTTACGGCTTGTTTGACCACCCCCATTAATATGGCAGTAAGGTGGTATCTTCTGCAGAATAAAGGCAAACTACTTCATGGCCTTAATTTGGATATTGTTGAAAAGTGAGTTATCACATGTCCCATTGAGGAGTATTATTTTTTTGTGGACATTTAGCAGTAGATCCCGTCATAAAGTTTGTTGTATGAGGATTATTAAGAGCATAAACGATAAGATGTGGGTGGGTGTCTCATGTGATTTGTCATCCTGGCCATAAATTATATAGTTTAACATGGCCTTATTATTGAATATAATTTAGGTATTCCAATACAGGCAGCCTCTGCATAAAAGACTAACATAGACTGTCTTTTGTAATTGAACTTGTGTTTAAAAGTTTTGCATTTTTAATTTAAACAAGATGAGTTTAATCACACATTAACTATTTGATGTATAACTTGATGCTAATATAATGTTTTCTGGGAGACCTCCTCAGTAGCACCCCATAGCTTACTTGCTGGTGTAGCTAAGCCCTAAAAAGTACACCAAACCTCTTGAGACCCATGCTGACCAACCAGAAGCCAGGACCAGAATCTGACTCTACAAGGTGAGGGGAGCTTGGGAACCAGAGATCTTCCCCAAACCAAGAAAGACCACTAGGAAGGTTTAGACAAACCAAAATAAGCTACCATTTGAAGTGATTGATGTGTCCCTTTTTATGCCTGCCCTGCCCTGGAATGTGGGTGCTTGGCTTCTCTATGTGAGTTTGCCACCGCAGTCGACTCTGCAAGTTGGGTGGCTGCTCTTTTGCGTGTGGTCTTTTTGAGAGCTTTTGCCAGCTACTTGTATATTGGGCTGGAAGCTCTGGAGTCAGTGCTTCCAGGTGGTGGCTCTGCTTCTTGCTGCATTCATGTTTTGGCAGTTTGGTACTTGGTCAGTTTTCATAGGCAGCACCAGGCATGAGTGGCATCGAGTTAGTTGACCTGGAGTAGATTTCCTCAGGTTACTGGCATTTCCTTCCTGCCTTCCATGGTAAGCCATTCTGTTCTTTCTCCGTGGGTAGTTAGCCCATGCACAAGATGCTCGGTCTCCACGGTCTCGGAACTCTGTTGATCACTGTTGCAATTAGGGGCAGCGAGTTTGTTCTGGGTGAATGCTACATGTGAGATCAAATCTACACAGGGGCACTAAGCTCAGAACCAAACTGCTACATACAGTTTGGTGATATATTCTTTCACACAATATAAAGCAGAGCAGCTTGTACTCGCATTCCATAGTGACTTGTAAGGCAGCAACAACAGATGGGTGATGTGGGTCTGTGTTGGGTCAGACATGGGAAGAGTGCAACATGAAGCATAGTGTAAGCCATTACACAAGTGTGGAGTGTTTACTGATACACAGGGGCAGCTCTTACTGCTTGATGGTACTAATACTCTGCTTTAGACTACGTAATGACTAATAGCATGTTCTGCTACCACAAGAGAGCTGTTGGTTCAGAGAGCTGTTTGACATCAGGTTGCAGTTGGTTAATTTGATGTGCACAGCTTAGTAAAGCACTCTAGGTTCTGGTCGTTGAAGACTAGAGTTGAACTCCCTGCTTGGTGGCTGGTGCTAGAATGTTTAATCCTCCTGGTTGGGTGCCTAACTCATCTGCCTAGTAATCTTCAGCAAGCTTTTTGCCATGAGCCAATCAAAACTAAAGCACCTAAGTAGGGCCTACTTACTGGCAGGAATGGTTACACTGAACTATACTCAGATGTGTGTGCCCACTGTGTGGGTGAGATGACCTCCAGAGGTCAAGACTGCTTGCTGAATCTTTCCCTCAATGCCCTCTAACTCTGAGTTTAAAGTGACAGCCACAGGATACCTTCAGATTAATTCTTATTATTAACCAGGGGTGATTTTTTGGGCATGGCAAAGCACATTATGTATATTGCTGGTAATGGGGTCATTAGTTAAATACTCGACAAGCTAGGTTCAGACTAACACACACAATGTTTGCCTCAGTCTGGTAATTTGTGTGATGTGCATACACATCATATGTCAAGAGCAGAGATAGAGAATCGACCCTTCATAAAGGTGATTCAATGGGAGTTTAGTACAATAATTTTCAGTGGGAGAAAGGGTACACTAAAGTTTGCATAACAGTAGCACAGTCATGGGGTGCTGGAAGCATACAAGTCTGCTACCTGCAATAAATTTAATTTTAGCCCAGGGTGTTGATTCAATTTGCATTTTTACTCTTACTCGTTAGAAAGTGTAGAGTATGGAAACTGATTACACTTCTTCTAAATGGTTGTAATATTAGCCTTTTCAATTTCTTTTATCCGTGAGTAAGTGATGACTTCTATCATATTGTGATACTAAAATTAGTTGTGTACTTCTTCAGCAAATATATGATGTGCTCCTTTAGTAATATTTATACTTGTGCTGTAATTAAAGAGAGAAATAAACATTACAATTATGTGACCCCCATGATTTTTAGGATCCCCGGCCAACTAAGTGACAGACGGACATTACTGGGAGAACTTAACTGGATATTTACTGCAATTACAGACACTATAGCATGGAACACTCTTCCGAGAGGTATGTATGCAGAAGCCAGATTTTGAGTGAAAGAGCAAATCATGTTTATGTTAAGAAAAACTTTCCTTGGTTAACATGTTGTTAGACATGTAGTCACTAAATAAAAATGTAAGTGTTTTAAATAAACTTAAACAAAAAGCAATTTGAGAGTTAATAGTCAATTTTAAACAGTTTTGGGAATTCTCATTTGATGACAATTTAATTTTATCATTGTGAATTTGCTGATTTTTGCTGAGTGTTCATTTGCCATGATTCTCCTCACTGAATCATGGCAAGTGATATATTAAGTCTTGCCATGATATGACCCATTCCAGGGACAAAAAAAATATAAGTAGAAATGAGTGCATTTTACCTCCGAGAGTTATATGTTGCGTTTGAGATAGATTCAATGAAAGTACTTTCTCAAGGAAAAGAAAGGGGAGTTGGTGAGGTAAACAAGGCATAATAGATATAAATCGACAGATTGATAGATTATCTGGTCTTCTAGATATACAAGTCTTACCAGATAGACAAGTCTGATAACAGTTTAGCAATTTAGTCATTGCATGTTTTTATGGTGGGAATTGTTCATGGAAATATTGTTTGTACAGTGGAGATAATTCAGGCATTATAGAGCAATGCTCTTCCTTGTTGATTACCTAGCAACATGTTTTTATATATTGTGGCATGATGACCAAACCATACATCAGAAGATGGAGAAACAACGGCGTTTCGGTCCATCCTAGACCATTATCAAGTCCAGGTAATGGACTTGATAATGGTACCATTATCAAGTTGGTAATGGTCCAGGGTGGACCGAAACACCATCACCACCACCCAATCAGCCCCGAAGAGTGAAAAGTATGTGGCTTTAATGTCATTCTCAGCTTTTCAAGTAATTATTAATTTTTATTAATTAGTAAAATTAATTTTCATCACATTTGTTATTGGGAAAGATATATAACTGTGGTGAAAGAAATGGGTTATTCCTGTTGATCACTTGTTGATAATTTAATACATACAGTATTAATTAAGGGGGGAGAGGAAAGGAGAAGGGAGAAGGAGAGGGAAGAGAGAGAGAGAGGAGATGAGGAGAGAGAGACAAGGAGGAGAGGGGGGGGGAGAGAGAGTAGGAGAGGGAGAGGAGGAGAGAGGGAGAGGGATAAATGAATACAGAAGTGCTCAACATTATTGATATGAATAACTTTGTGCCTTTAGCTGTGACTATCTTTCACATGTTAAATGGATTGTTGTTGTGTAATTAAAAGATGCATACATTTTTGGTTCCTATAATAACTTCATATTCTTTTCTAGATTTGTTTCAGAAGTTGTTTAGACAAGATCTTTTAGTTGCCAGTTTATTTCGCAATTTTCTCCTAGCCCAACGTATAATGAGATCATATGACTGCATTCCTGTGTCTTCTCCCGAACTTCCTCCTACACATCAGGTGTGTAAACGTGGAGCTTAATGCATTCTCTTTAGTTGGAAACATTAAAGTCGGTGAAAATTTAGTGGTCATGTTTAGTGGCTGATCTATTTGAAGTGTAGAATTTGCAGGAATACAGTAGTACAGTATTGTGTTTAAGAGTGGAATTACTATTTTGAATGGAGCAAAGGACTTTATAGGATACAGTACTGGGTGTAAGGTTAATTTTGAATAAAATCAAGGATTGCACAAAATTCTACATGTACCAGATACTTAATTGTCTAAGTTCCTATTCCTCTTCTTTCTTGCTCTTGACTTTGTTCTTCTGCATCTTCTCTATATCTTTTAAATTGTTCTAGAAATCCTTGTTTTTCTTTCAGAATGTGGTCATTTAATTTATTTGTTTCATTTTCTGGTTATTGTCTCAAATATTAAACATTCAAGGTCTGACACTTTTTTTTAAGTTTCATTATATAGTGCCTGATAGGCTAGTGCTTGCCTATCAATGTCTCTTGTAGAATGAGATGCATTTGTAGAAAGAGATTCAGGGAGCCCTATCTAAACCTGCCTTTCAAACTGTTCCTGCACACCTCATATATTTGGTTTTCTCGACTATGTCGCATCTTCTATATAGTGTACTTCACTTGTTCTTAGTCTTCCCATTTAAAAATATTTATTAAACTGTGTCTCAAGAACATAAACTTGAAGATTTATTGATGTTTGTCCTGTGCATTTTTCCATATTTGTACAGCTTTGATTGTTTTGGGTTACAACTTAAAATGTAAAGGTAAGTTAAGTATATACTGCACTACATAGATGATGCTAAGCCACTAGGATGAATAAAAGACCTAGATGCCCTTCTAAAATGACCTTGAAAAAATACTAAATTTTCTAAAAATTTTCATGGGTGTTTCGATACATTTTACTTTAAATATCTGCATCATCATTACTTGCATTCATTTGTTTAATTTTTGTATTTTTTGTTTTGCAGCATCCGATGTGGGATGCATGGGACTTGGCTCTAGAGCTTTGCCTTGGCCAGCTACCTACAGCACTGCACACTGAGGATCCGTGCTCTCACGTGCACTCCCCATTCTTTGAGGAGCAGCTCACTGCCTTTCAGGTGTGGCTTGACCTAGGACATGAACGAAGACATCCACCTGAGCAGCTTCCAATTGTCCTGCAGGTGAGAAAACAAATAATTTATTGGTAAAGGCTAGTCTCTGGAACTGGGTTGCACGACTATGGTTATGTAAGACAAAGGGAATGATGATGATGCTTGTAAATTACTGTATGTAATGTGGTACGATCCTTGATCTCACTTCCCACTGCATTTCGGTCAGCAAGGCCACTTCAGATCCTGCTCCTAAGCCGTGACCATGCAGCTGTGTGGGTCCTGCTTCCGGTTGTTCTGCGGCTGTATTCTGGCTGTTCTTGGGCTGTGTATCTGGCTGTTCGTGGTCTGTTGACTCGGTTCCCAGCTGTGTGCCATGATACTTCTGGGCAGTGTGCCTGGCTGCTTCCAGGCTGTATGTCTGACCATTCAATGGCTTTGCTTGGGATGTGTACCCGTCTTGCTTTGTTGTGCTTATGCTTTCTGTTTTTTTCCCCCCTCAGTTTTGGGTTGATCTCAGGTTTCCAAGCTCCTCTTGCTTCGTAGAGAGCCACATTCTCATAATGACTGGTAAGGTAAAGCTGGGTCTCAGGGGCATGGTGCATCTTCCTAAGGCTTGGTTGGACCACTGCTTAGCTCTGGGAGCTACTGAGGACCTTGCCAGAAAAGGGCACTTCATTATAATCGATGCTTAATTATTTCTTCCTTCCCTGAGTTTTTTCTAGCTCTCTTCCAGGTTTATTTTCATCTCTTGAGTTCTAGGAGCTTCCTCTGCTTTACTTCCTAGTCCTGTTTTTGGCCTGTTAGCTTTTGTGGTTTTTGATGGTGCCCATTTTATCTTGTGCTCTGTGGGCTGTGTGCATCTGTTTTTTTGTCACACCATATTGTACCCTTTTTTGTTTAACACTTTCGCGCTTTAGATTAGAGATAACTCGTCGCCGTTTTCTCTTACGATTCCGCATAACAGCCTACTTTTCTCGTCCATCGAAAAAATATTTCTATAAATTCCATTTTTTAACCGAAATGGATGGGGATACTTTTGTTTTGTAGGGAATTTATTTGCGAATGTTTTGGTACCAGAATGAATATTATATCACATAAACTTCTATGAGTAAAAAAAAAAATACACAAAGTATGTTTGGGGGTGTAGCAGTGGGTTCCCTTTAGCCGTTGATATATCCAACACGTGGGAAATATTTGTATGTGTTATGTATATGTCTGTGTAGGCATATGTCTGCGATCACTGCGATCACTGTCATACAAATTATAAAATGTTTCAACAAGTATAAACATGACAAACATCAAACGAACGAAAACAATGCGTTCGTTTCTGCCGCGAACGCATACTGAGCGACGTGGTTCTATATTTGGCGCTTCTCTTACACATGCTTTGTACAAATGTTATACAGTTCATCTTATAGAAAATTTTATTGCGAACACATTGGTATAAAAAATAAATACGTACATAGAAAATTAGGGTCAGGAAACGTATAAACTTTCCAAGCATGATTTCCCCCCTGTGTTTTCGCCAGTGCGCTCGCGGCTAACTACTCTCCACTTCACACACTCTTGCGGGTGGGCAATTACCTATATTAAACATTCATATGCATATGTCCGTGTAGAGAATTTTATTGTGATTCCAATGATACCAAAATTAGCGATGTAGGACAACTGTAGGCTTCGCAACCATTAAGAGAGTGGAAACATTTTGTTGCTGTTTGGCGCTCTCGGCGAGTGATCTGCATAGTTTTTTATTTGGTGTTGATACTCCTTATGCTTGGGCGGCATTTTATAGGTATGCTCTTATAGACAATTTCATTGCGAACACAGTGATACCAAATTTAAATACGTGCGCCTTCAATTATTGTCAGGACAGTCAAAAGAGTGTACACTTTTCGGTCTTACCGCGTAGGCGCGCGAAGTGCCGAAAGCATCTGGGGTATTGTTTTTTTTTGAGCGCCGAGAGCGCGAAAGTGTTAATTACCTAAGTGTAGTTACAGGATGAGAGCTATGCTCGTGGTGTCCTGTCTTCCCAGCACTCTTTGTCATATAACACTTTGAAAGGAGGTTTTGGCCTCCACCACCTTTTCACCTAACTTGTTCCAATATAATGAATGTCAACATATGTTCCAACATTATGTGTTTGTGTGTAATTACTTAAATAATTACCTAGGCATGTACATATATATGTGTGTGTGTGTGTGTATGTGTCTTTGCCTTTTATTGTGTTGGTCTTAGGCATCCAATGTGTTTAACCTTTTGGCCAGTTTAGACAATTTCTTGCCTTCCATTGGTTAGCAAGTAGATCTGTTTTGGGCCGCCACTGTTGCCTTCCACTGTGGGATGTCATCTGGGATCGGTTGCTTCCTATCCAGCAGAGGGCAATCCCTTCAGCATAGTTTTTCTTCTGTAGGGTGCACTCTGTACAAGTTCAGAGACCTGGTAACATCGTGCATATCACACCAGAGCCTGATACACTGGGGAGCTTTTGAGACTGCCCAGAAAAGGATGTTTCATTTTATTTAATGCTTTAATAAAAAAAAAAAAGTCTTCAAAAAAGTTTGGCTTATATTCTTGCAAATAAAATACATTAATCCTTTTGCTATGTGATTATAAAGCTCATATATTATTACTGAATTATTACAACATTATTATTTTTCTTTATTTTAGGTCCTTCTGAGCCAAGTGCACCGTCCTCGAGCTCTGGAACTCCTGGGAAGTTTTCTGGCACTTGGACCATGGGCTGTCAACCTAGTGCTGTCTGTGGGCATCTTTCCCTATGTGTTAAGACTTCTTCAATCAACTGCAAGAGAACTCCGCCCGCTTTTGGTTTTCCTGTGGGCCAAGATTCTTGCTGTTGATCCAGTATGTTCAGCAGGAATAGTAATACACAATGTACACTATTCGTTTATCTCCACAATCTATAGGACCCTATATTGTTTTCCTTAAAATCTGTACTTATGGAAGTTTTCCCCTCTTGTTTTTATTTTTTTAGTTATTACCAGATTTTCTATACTTTTCATGTAAAACTCAAATTTAATGTGAACCATAATTTTTGTTTAATATACTCAATGGCTTTTCTAAAGAACCAACTGTTTCTCTTAATGGTGCCATTAAAAGCATAATTAGACCCATATTAAAGGAGTTACCATTCATAACCTTATCTTTTCCATGCTCTTATGTGCCAAGTTCACCGAGCAAATTTTTTGTTGCAACTTATTACGTGATGGATAACCAGGAAAACCTGGGTGTAAAGTTAAGATTTCAACACGTGTAACTTATATCCTACGCCCCAGCCTTGAAACTTCACTTTCACCGTAGCCGTGTCCATACCTATGTGAATCTGGGCGAACCATACCTGGGCGAACAAGAATCACACCAAATCATAATGTAAATGAACCAAAGAATTTTGTTTGAAATATGCTCAATGGCTTTCCCAACTCCTAATGCTACATCCATCTACAAATTAAAAACAACAAAAAGGCATGATTTAAGCCATATTAAAAGGTTTACCATTCATATCCTAGTATTTACCATGGTCTATGGGTGAATTTTACAGATCAAAATTTGAATTTCATTCTGTCGTATGATTAACAACTACTGGGAGAACCTGTCTATAAAGAGATTTCTCCCCCATTGCCAATATATCTCAGGACCCAGCCTTTTAAACCAATTTTGTCAACTTTTCTCATGCAAACAATTATTTCTTAAACTCAAGATTTTCTATGAAATATTGAATAATTAAGGAGATATGGTTTCCCAAACATTTCCAGAGTATTTCTGGAAATACTATTTCCAGAATAATAAATAATAATAATAATAATAATATACTATAATAAATATTTCTGGAATAATCAGAACATTTCTGGTGTTCTGCACTGACTTAAACTCCGACATCCATTGAATATAAGACCTTTAGAAACAAATATATCTGTAGGAAATTACTGTGCCTAATTATCTGAGATTAACGCTCCAGTTAATCCCTGTTAATTAACAGGTATCCCTTCCAGAATCCGTATTTTTCTTGAAAATGTTGAAATTTGGAGGGGGAGATCCTGTGGCAGAATTTCGTCCATTATTTGGAGGGATCCATTATGGAGAGTCGAGGATTAGGGAGCTGCCACTGTATGATTTTCTTTGGATATCAATAACGATATTTTTAGATACTGTATCTCAAAATTTTTGCATACATCTTGTTTATTTCCTTGCCTAACAAATCTATCCAGTTAAATCTATTACTTCTTCAACTCCATATTATAACCAGAGTTGTATTTGGGTCATGCATAAGATTTAAAACTTCTGTTCGGTAAATGGGGAGCCATTTGCCACCTGAGGCTTCTAGTAAACATCGGTCGTCTTAAAAAAAAAATTGTGGGTTACCCCTCCTTGGCATAAGTGCCACGTTACTAACACATCAACCATGAGTTTTGCATGTGGCAGCAGCTCACAGCACCATCTTGCAGTTCGCTCCACAGCATCACTTGCAATAAAATAAATAAGAAACTGCAAGAAAGTGATGATAGTGACATTGAAGATCACGATAGTGATAAATAAAGTGTGAACATGGCTCGGATATCAGTGATGTGGAGAGTGAACCTGATGCACGTGACAGTGTTCCCAGAGTGACGCCTACTGTGCAACCGCAGCACACAGCTAGGGTTTGATGTGTGTGTCCATCATGCAACTGGACCTCAATTCCATTGGAAAATTATGAATTTTCAGGGTTTAGTGACCAGGATTCTGATAACAGAAAAGTTTTTGAAAGTGTTAGCAGTGCACAAGGTGATATTGGACGGTACTTTGCATCATCAGGTGCTGAGTGCGTGAGGAAACTACAGTAGTCCCACTACTGATTTCAAGATTAAACACCCACCAGAACTGCTTAAGGTTTGCAATGGTCAGAAACATTTTATTTTTATATATAATGTGTGTATACAGTGTAATAATAGGAAAAATAGTATGTTTATTGTTCTAATAATGTGATTGGCATACTAATGATGTGAATATACCTGTGTACACAGAGAAATCATGTTAACATGGTATATCAAAAACAAATCCACAGGAGCCTTGATGAGGGTTCGAACTTATGCACCGAGTGTTCCCAGATGCACTCTAGGACTACCTGTACCACAACATGGTAAAAGAATTGCAACCTGGAGTGCTATTGCACCCACAAGGGTCCCAAGGCTTCCACTGAAGGCTAGCTGGGGTTTCACACAATTTCCCTATGTACCTGGGCTCTTGTCAACCAGTAGTACTACCTCTAATGCTCCTACTTCAATACATTGTGTGTGTGTGTACACTGATGTTTTACATGTTCCACGATATGAATAACATTATTGACAGCCTGCACTCGTATGCAAAAATTCACTGCACTGGGAAGAAAAAAATCATGTTAAAAGTATAACAAATGTGAAGAAAAGAAAATATATTTATTGTGTGCAGTTAGAACTTGGTGCAAAATATGTGGAGCTAGACTGATCGGATCACTGGTTATGAGCTCATCTCCCCTACAGAATTTCTTAAGTAATGGTAACAATTTATAAACATGTCACTAGTTATATAATGTGTGTGTGTGTATAGTGTGATAACAGCAAAAAATAGTATGCTTTATTATTCTTGGAATATAACATGAAGCACATATTAGTGACATGAATATATTTGTGTATACCGATGTTCCACACTTTGTGACATAAATTCTGCTATTGACAGCCCAATAGATCATTGCACTGAAAAAAATTAAAAACCATTCCTGGAGCGACTCGGTTTAGATTTTGCTTTGTGAACAGTCAAGATTTCATTCTACCATTGAGACTTCATCATTTCAATACAGCCAAAGTAAGTGGCTTAGAAATTTTCATTTAACTTTCCTGTGATCAGGGAATGCATTTTAACAATAATAAAAGAAGAAAATTTCAGATTTATATTTTATTTTGCACACTGGTTGTCATATTAACTGTTCATGCACTTGAGAGGTTAAAGAACTTATTAAGTTTCTGTTAGTGTCTTCTCCTAAAGTTAAATTTTGTTGTTGTCTCACTTTTCCCGGTCACTTCAAGATTATAAGATGAGGTGTATTTAATTTCTAAAAGGACATTGTTGCTCTCGGCAAAGGGAGGCAGGTACTGAAGGTAAAAAAATCTTAATTCCTGATAAATGCAAATTCCAGTACTGATAGAATATCACATTCCCCTATTTTTGTGGCTTGTTTAACATTCTGATACATAATGAATGTCTTCAGGATAAGGTTAAGACACGTCGAGTTCATTATTTACTAAAGACCGCTGAATAAATCAATTTCACTGAATTTATTACATAATATTATAGTTGTCTACAGTGGTGAGGCCCAACATATCATAATCTAAATACTGTACTAAATAAATTATATGCATCCCAGTGGGCACAATATTCAAGAGTAACGTTAATTCAACTTTAAATCAACGTTATTCTTTGATTTTGTACCCACTCGGACTATACTTAATTTCTTAAATTTATTCAATATGGTTTTGTTTCTCTCGCAGAGTTGTAAAGGAGATCTTGTAAGAGAAAATGGCTACAAGTATTTTCTTCAGGTGCTGTCGGATACATCCATGCCTGTAAGTTCAAGTTAAATCAGTTTCAGTTATCCAATAACAAACATTTTAATATTACACATGCTTTGCTTCTTTTGTGTGTGTGTTTGTATGTGTGTGTATAAGTATTCATATGTGTGTATGTATGTTTGTGTATGAAAGAGAGTTCCTCCCTCCAACTAGGTTATTAACCAAAGAAAATTTCTAGGTTTTTGATTTTCTGGAAGTGCCTCCTCAGTAGTTTCCCAGACCTTACACTGGTATAGCTAAGCTTTAAGAATTATATTAGGTCTCCAAGATCCATGCTTACATAGTGGGAACCAGGACAAGAATCTGACTCTCTACAAGGCAAAGGGCGCTTTGGATCAACTCAGGAAAACCCCATAAGAAAGAAACGGTATTCTAGATGCTGAAAAGAAAGAAAGTGGTGAAAAGCACATCAAGTCACCTTGTACTACCTTCTCAATGCAAAAGACAAATGTGAAACTAAGGTGTATAACCTGACTCTCGTGTAGGTGGCGGTACACAAGGCCTAAAAACCTCACATGCAAAGAAAGCAGAGCTGCAAATCTTCCAGGTAGTACATGCTACCGATCTTGTAGGAGTGGCAGAGCCTTGAGAAGGAAAGAAAGTAGAGGCAATGAGCCAAGAAGGCCAGGAACCAGAACTGAACTGGCCACATGGGTTCCAAAAGAAGAACATGGCACACAAAGATCTCTAACCTTGCTAGCATTGGAAGCAGCAGCTGGACCACAGGGAAGAGGGTGAAGTGGGCTAGTGCCCTAGGCCAGGATTCATCAAACAATTATGCATCCACTTATGAAACCTGTGCATCTTTCCTCATTTATGGTGACTTAGCTCATATTTTTAAACAGTTTGTGAACTTCAAAACATCACAACCCAAGGATTTTATTGTTATTAACAACCTTGTAGCACTTTGAAGCTCATAACCTCTTTAATAAAAGCAAACTAATCTGCCATGATTTAGGAAAAATCATGGCTGGTTTTGTAAGTGGACACAATTAAATTGCTTGAAGATTCCTAGCCCAGGTCACCTGGGGTGCTATCTGATGGGGTCGAGTGCATCACAATAAGGGTAGTTTTCCTGCAGCGACTGTCATTTGCCTTAAATATACTAGTTACTTTTGTGTTTTTCTTGGTTTTGAGCAGATTTCTGATCCCAGGCTCCTCTTGCCTTATAGAGTAAGCTTAGCTCAAGATGGGTCTCGGAGGCCTGGGGTAATTTCCTAAGGCCTTAGGAATGCTGTTCCAAGGTTTAAGCTCGAAGGGTTACTAAGAATCCAACCAGAAAAGGGCATTTCATTACATTCAATGTTTGACTTTGTTCAAATTACTGTTAAGTAAATAAAATATTTCAGAAGAATGCATTAAATGTCATTTATTGTATTTTACCCTTATGACTTATTACCAGGCAGAGCATCGAACAATGGCAGCATTTGTCTTGGGTGTAATTGTGTGGGAACATCCAGAAGGTCAACGTGTTGCTTTGCAGGGCTCTCTTATGCCTCTTTGCCTAGAGCTGTTGGGTGATCCCCATCCACCCCAGAGACAGTGGGCAACAATATGTCTGGGCCGAACTTGGCATCACCACCCTGATGCTCGGTGGGCAGCAACTAGAGATAATGCTCATGAAAAGCTGTATGCACTCCTCTCTGATCCTGTTCCTGAGGTATGTAGACTAATTGTATATATATTATTTATTGCCATCAATTTACTTGCAGCAGAATAGCTATTCAGATTTGCAGACTGAAAATTTTAAAATCTTTGATCAATAATAAAGGATAAAACACAATTATGTTAAATCTCTTACAACTTCATATAATCAGAAATTAAATTCACGATAAAGTCACTCTTATCCAGATGGTTGTCAGTTACCAGACATCAGCAGAGTATTGAGTACATTGTAAAGAAATGGCCATTTGTACTCCCTCAGTTTCTCCTCAAAGTTTATGTACTAGTACCCCAGAGCCAATACCGTCTTACCAGGCATCTAAGACTATATCATGGCTTACCCGGAGCAGGGACTAAAACTCAACCACTTGTAGAAAATATTGTGATATGAAGTAAGTCAAAGAAAACTCATAACCAAGAGGGAAAGCCTCTGAACAGCAACATGATGAGGTCAATGCATTTTTTTTTCCAGTGGTATTTGTGCGCGGGCCCTAAGCCTATGGCTGGCCCACTAAGTGTTGCTTGTTTCTGTTTTACTTGGGCGGAGTATGAGTATTTATGACTCGTAATGTGCAACTTCATGTCAAACAAATCCACCTGCCGCATCTCAAACTTCACTCTCAACCACAGGAAATAAGTCCTGTTTACTGCTTTTTCTGCCATGGTCAGATGGACACAGAAGAGCCCAGCCACGAGAATAGTTGCTACCCCATAGAATTGGACAGTTACGAGAGTAGCCATGGTCCTGCAGAACTGGACCACCATGTGGAGAAATTCCTGACAAACCTGGAATGCAGTTTTCATGTTAGAACCACCATCTAAGGAAAAGTGAACAAGCAGATCCCTGTTATGTATACAAACCCATGTGAAGGCAGATTATTGGAGACAGCATACTAACCCTCATCAGAGATAAGGGCATACAAGTGTGACTCAAACCACCCACTCTGCTGCACTATGCATCTACCATGCATTTGTACATGGTAGATGCAATTTGTCTATGCATCTACCATGACCAGAAGAAACATGAAACATGCCCCATATTGGCTGGATGAAAACTGGGGACCATGCTCCAGTCCCAAACAAAAGTGTCTATAAACAACTTTAACAACAGTATTGGTGGGAGCAAATTAACTGGTGTCTTGGAATCTCAAATCAATTCTGACACAGTTTGAAACTATGATTCGAAGCTCTCCACCAATCTTCGTGCTTGGGCTTTCCATAGAAAGCCCAAGCATTCATTCTTATTGAATTATTCTCATTCTAATTGTCCACTATCTGCATGTGGTTCAGGTGATAGATTTTCTGGTGTCACTGCAACTTTCCTCCTGGTGGCAGTATGTCATTGCTTGGTTTTAGAAGTGCATCCCCCTTTGTTATTAGATTCTTCTACCCTCTTTTACCAGTAAGCCCTATTTTTCTTTGTGCTTCATGGAGAGTTTGGAGAACCACAGAGGAAATTCCTCTCAGAAATCCAGCGTTGAATGAAACGAAACACCTCTTTCCGAAGGGTCCCTTTGGTGTCTCCCTGTTACCACCTTTCCCTCTAGGATTTTCAGGGATCGTCTTTGGGCAGTGCATGTCTAAGGTGGTCAGCTAACTTAAGCCCTGGGTTACCTGGGCTGTCTTCTGATGGTGCAGGTTTGTAACTAACTAGTGGTTGTGGCTGGTTAGTGAGTTTGAACATAGTTGTACAGTGTTTCTTCATACAGTTGATTGATTGTTTTGGGACACTGCCTTTCTGGGTGGTTTTTTCCTCTTGGCCTGGGTTACTCTTTTATTCCCCAGACTACCTTGTCTATTAAGTAGACCAGATTGCGCTTCTGATCTCTGGTAAGTGGTCTCGACTCTTAGGGCCTGGTGGGGATGCATTATTCTTAGAACTACAAGACTGTGTAGTTTGGGTAGCCACTGAAGCCACTTTAGAAAAGAGGCATTTCATTACATTCCATGCTACATTTGTGTGGCAGCCAAACTTACATTGTGTCAGAACAACTAGTTGTCTTCTTTGCCAAGGTGCTGTTAAGAGTAACTTACAGGTAGCTGCTTAAGGGAGGGGGGGGCTCTCCCAGAAATGCAGCATTTAATGCAATGAAGTGTCCTTTTCTGGTGAGTCCTCGGTACCTTCCTGTGGGATTTGTGGGTTCAGTATTGGCAGCTCATGAGTCAGATGGGCTGCTGGCTGGGAACTCGGTTGATCTGGTCTGTTGTCTTGAATCTCGGTTGACTTGTTTTACCATATAGTAGATAGTTTGGTGGATTATAGGTTAGGGGTTGCTTACCTGCAACAGTGATCAGTTGCCTTGTTTACCTAAGGATTTTTATTTTTATTTTTTCAAGCACTCACTCGTTTTGTTGTTGCCTAATCTTTCTGGTTGATTTTGTGCCTAGTAAAGAGAGCCACATTCTGGGCCTGGCTCCCAGTAAATTCAGCATGGGTATCAGAGGCCTGGTGTGATTCATAAGGCTTCAGTGTGTAGTTCCATTTAGCTACTAGGAGCCTTTATGGACCGTTTCATTGAATTCAGCGTTTGATTTTTGTTTATGTCTGTGAAGTTATATACAAAATTATATATACAACCTGGCCAATAATAAACAAAAAGATTTGTATTTAATGTAAAAAATGTCTTAAATATTTTTCATCAGGTGTGTGCTCTCTTCCTAAGGTTCGTGGAGCAGCTGTATTTTCTTTGGGAACATTCATTAGCAGCTTAGTGAGCCGGGAGAGAACTGACCACGCTCGAGCCATAGACCATACTATCGCCATTACCTTGGCCAACACGGTTGCTCATGATGGATCACCTATTGTTAGACAGGTAAAAATTGTTCCTAGGTATTTGTGTGCTTTTGCAAATGCACCGTTTATTTACAATACACTCAACATACATGTATCAAGTAATATATACTGTATGCAACCACACACTTACTGCATTTTCAGGTATACTGTACTCTATATTCATATGCATAAACATACACATTTACATATAAATATTCACAAGTATGCATATATGCCATACTATTGATTATCAAGCAAAGCTATTTTATGCAGTTATGCAGTCTTAATTTTATGTAATGTTTTCCATCATGTTTTACAGGAACTGGTGGTGGCCTTGCATTATCTAATACAAGTATACGAAAGCTCCTTTCTAACTGTAGCTCGTCAATATTTCCGAGATGAGATGGGTGATCTCTCACCTCAGGCACTCACTTCATCTGTTGACAGCATAATGTCACCTTCAAATAACATTGGTCGAGTTTTCTCTAGACATGCCGTAAAGCAGATCACCTCTCCAGGTCAGGTATGTACAGTCAGATACATCAACATCCTGTGCATCATTAATGGGGTCTTTTTGTACACAGTTACAAGTCAAGTGATGATGTTCATACCTGTAGTCCAAAATTTTTTTCAATTAAGACAGTGTTTCAGTGCACCAAAACACAAATTTCAAAACATTGTTTGGGAAAGCTTAATAACATTAAATGTAGTAAGATCATTCATTGAGGGTAGAATGACTCATTGCATGGAAAATGTAAAGAAACTGGGTGGTGGAGTCATTGCATCATTTAAGACCACAGGCAGAAGTGATTGAATACTGTGTGTATAGGCATGCAATGTACTGTGGCCATCTATTTTATGTAAATTTGTTCCTGGCATACCTCAATGGAAGTGTCTTACAACCCACTCCTTTGCTGCAAATTATCTCTGGACGTGTCGTCCAGGCATGGGATTCAGACACTGGCAAGAAAGACCAATTTGTGATTTGACAATAACAGCAGGCAACTAGAACATGATTATTTCATCACATATCACATACTAAACAATTACAAAGAGACAGCAGAAATTTTTCACTGGTCATGGTTAACTGTATTACAGACATATAAATATATTATAAAGATATTTTCTATGTCATTGATATAAATGCTGGGGTAAATAATGAAGAAATTGGATATGATAACTGCAGTGCCTTAAGAAATCGACGGATGATAATCACATGTTGGGTGTTAAATAAGGTGTGGTAGCATTCAAAGCAGTAAGTAAGAAGCTATATATAGATGTGAGCTGATGAATAATTTTGGGGTTGTAGAAAGAAAATACATCACTAAAATAAGTGGAGAAATTAAAGAAATATATAATGAGGTTTGGAGTTTGAGTGAGCAAGAAGTGTTGAGATAGTGGCAAGGGATCCTTTGTGTCAAACCTCCTTCTCAAGCAGTTGTTCCCTTGCACACAACTATTGGGTCTTTTATAATGTGTTTGGTACTTAGAATGAGTACCAAACACATTATAGGGTACTTACATTTGGTACTTAAAGGGTACTCACTGGTACTCACATTATGAGTACCAAACACATTATATCATCATGTGTGTACACTTAATCACAAAGTGGTTAAGTGTACACATGAAATTAAATGTCCAGTACTGGCATCGATGAAAGGACAATAGCTAACCTAACTTTGTTTTCATTCACAAGAGTTTAGGAACGAGTCCTGATTCTTGCCTTAATGAGTACGTCCACATGTCATCTCTTGGTGTGAAAAGAGCAGCATCTACACACTCTATATCATCCATTGGTAAGTAAGCATGCATTACTGATTTGAAAATTGTAATATATTAAGTTGTAAGAATTCTAAAGAAATAAATAAAATACAGATTCTGTTTAAATATAGAATGTAATATTTATGAGAAGGACCCCAGTAGCTCTGGTGCCAGCAAACATTAGCCCAACACACCAGACAGTTGAGACCCAATCCATCACCTAGTGGGAACCAGGATCAGTATCTGGTTCACCCTGCAAAGGTATAAGGCAGTAGATAAAAAATCAACCACAAAACTGTTTTCCACCAGAATGCATAAGTGCAACAAAACAAGCAACTGCTTCATTGCAGATGGGCATGCTAGGTAAGCAGGGCAACTGTCCATTGCTGCAGGATTAATATCCTAACTGTGATGCACCCAACCACCTACAAATGGCAGATCAAGTCTCTTGGGGTCTCACCTATCCTGCCTTCATCCACCTGGTGTAGCCTGTCCAAAACCTGTGACCTGTTATACACCCATCATCATCATCTTGCTTTCAGCTTAGTCGTGTTGGTTTTCCCTGGAACTTTAAATTCTGCCATTGCTTTGTTTTGATTTATGATGTATGATTGTGTTTATGCCACCCCATTCAGTGTGCTCTTGCATTCTACTTCACGTCAACTGTGGCCATGGCTCCATTTCCTTTGGTCAGCTTATGTTTTTCTTTACCCCACCAGAGAGATTTATTCTGAAAGGTCATGGGCCTCCTTCGTTGTGGGCTTCCAGGCAGTGCATGAGATTTACCCTACCCAGTAGGGCTGTTTGATGGGGGAGGAGACAGTCTTTTTAGCTTAGTAAACAATAACATTGAGACTTTCAGACTACTGTATATGCTTGTGCTTCAGTCACATCATTGAAAACCTGTCTGTTGTGCTGGCCTTACTCCTTTGAGTCTTTGAAGTCTTACATTTCAGCTGAGGTGCAATTGGGTTGTTTACATGAATTTTGAGATTCATGGCTACTTATGTCCTCTGTCGCCGAATATACAATACCGTATTGGTGTTTGATGTTTGCTTGGCCAAGACACTTCACCTGTGCCCAGTCCATCTTCATGTTTTTGATGGTTCAAGTGGCTTGTGTCTCCTTATCCCTGGCTCCTAGTGTGTTCAAGTGGGTCTTAGAAAACCTTTGCAATTCTGTCTTGGTAGCCCAGTGCTATAGATTCTGGGAAATAATGAGTGGCCCACCAAGAAAAAAGCTTTTCATTATATTCAGTGCTCAATTTTCTCCCAGTCTTTGTCAGTTGGTGTTGCATCCCTGCTTTCTATTAATTAATTGTGTGCTTTCTGAAATGTCACCATCTTTTGCCAAATCGCCACTGTGAGTAAGCTCCGGGAACTACTGAGTAAGGACTAAAAATATCAAGCTTTAAACTTAAAGAAATGTGTTTTTCTGTAGGGTGTCTTGGTAGCTATCCATTCATGATCTGTTACCTTTACTGTAGTGTTTTTGAGAAAATATGTATTGGCAATTCTTGAGTGAGATGCTACTTCGGTAATATTACGTGTACTTTCAGAAGTCACTTGTTTTGTTGTGCACTTCCTTCCTTTCTTTCTTTCTTTTTCTTTCTTTCTTTCTTTCTTTCTTTCTTTCTTTCTTTCTTTCTTTCTTTCTTTCTTTCTTTCTTTCTTTCTTTCTTTCTTTCTTTCTTTCTTTCTTTCTTTCTTTCTTTCTTTCTTTCTTTCTTTCTTTCTTTGTTTCACAGAGAAAGCTAGCTTCTGGTTCTCAGTAGATCAGGGTGGATCCCTGTGGTCTCATTCAATTTCTTAAGGTTTGGCAGTGAATCTTGTGGAGCTACTTAGCTCACCAGAAAAAATGACATTTTATCCTTCAACACTTGATTTTTATTTGTAATGTGGTGTATTAATTTGTTCATGTATTTTATGCTCAATCAATAAAGGTAAGTATTGTTGGATCTGGCAAGTAGTTGGATAAGTACACACAAGGACTTCTTCACTACCACCGACAGGAGCCACTCTCACTGGCTACCTGTTCCTGTACAAGATGTACAAATTTTGCAGATGTACTAAATGTTATTCTTTGGTCATTGGGCCTTGAAGTAGACATCAATCACTGACACACTGTAAACAATTCTGTAAGCATCCCATCACTGTTAGAAAAACGAATGAGTAATACAGTATTAATAGTATAGATTAATTTAAGTATGTAAGGATATGTCTTCTATAGATATGTAATGTTTATATGGTAACAATTAGACTAAGATCATATTACTAATTACAGGGACAAGTAATGTTTTCTCTGGTGTAAGCAGCCTGTCTTATAGTGGGATGTATTGCAAGTTGTGGCAGACCCTTATCACCTTGCAACGCGATCCCTCACCAAACGTTGCTAGGCTAGCAAAGATGGTGGTGGACTATGTTCAGAATAAGGTATGTTGATAGTTTCATGAAAAGATTGTTGTGTATAAGAGCCCAACAATTTTTTTTACTGATGTTTTAATCTGACTTAAGTATTTTAGATCAACATTTACAGGATAACCTTAATGTTTAGACTTTGTAATAGATGCGACTAGAAATAGCTAGAAGATAATGTGTCCAAATTTTTTTTAACATATCTAAAATAAATACAAATCAGGCATTGAATGTAATGAAATGGCCTATTTCTTGAGACTGTCTCTATGCTGAATATCCATTGCTTAAGTTTTACTTCATGAAGTGTGGCTGTTTGCATTCCTCTGGATAGTGTTTACCGGCCAAACATACACACCGAAACTACGACGTTGGTACAACGTTCGAACAAGTTTTAACACTTCCTAACCAGTTATAACAACCAATATAGCAAGTTGTAACAACGTTCTAATACGTCATAAACACGTTAAGCCAAGTTGTAACAACTTTATTACAAGTTGTAACAAGCGGAAAATAGAGACAGTTTCGGTTTATGTTTCCAGGGTATTGCTACAGATTGTTTTCAGGCATACTTACCCTAACACTGATTGTCAAAGACCTGCTGTAAAGCCAGTATTGGGTGTTGTGCACAAAACATTAACTTCAATCAGTATCCTTGTCAGAAGAATCAACAGCATCAAAATTACCACAGGATATATGTACACTGTATCCTGTAATATTTGTGACTAAATGTTATTTGTAGGAGGTGAAACATCCAGAATGTTAGATGCAAGGATTTGCAAGCTTAAGTATGCCTGCCTTAATATGCTTTTGTCGCAAACAGGAACCAGGAGCAAAATCTCATGAACTTCCGAGACACTAAACTTATTAAATATGAAAACCATATTTGGCAATTGCATATAGAATCTGAATCAATCAAATAGTAAAAATATAATTGAAAAAATTAAGAAAAATTCAGTTTGAAAATGAAGGAAAGAAAGAATGTTCAATATTACTGGCATTCTTGCTAAGCAGACAGTAAGTCACAATAACATGGCTGAAAGTTAGACACCCAGCCCACAAATCTGAAAATAAAGGACGTGACGATGGTTTGGTCCACCTTGGACAATCATCAAGTCTTGTTATCACGACTTTGTGACTTGTTAATGGTCCAGAACAAACTGCAACATTACCAGTTGCTTTATTTTTAGATTTATGGGTTTTGTGTCTAAATTGGTGCTTACAAATTATTAATTGCAAAACTAAATCCATCATATTTTTAACCTTCAACTTACTGACCTCATTTTGCCATTATCTAAGTAACAGCACGTCTCCCCCAGTTTTCCCCCTATACTATAATTGCTACCTCTTCGACGGCTTCTCTGTGGGATTTAGCAAATCTCTCGAAGGTAAAATGTCATCGACAGATGAGGACTACTCTCATGTTAGTGTTTGCCTTCACCAAGAAAATTAATGCTGTACTCGAGACTGGCCTCATACTGGGCTTGATGAGTAGAAAAACTCCCAGAACCCATTCCAGGTATGTACTGATAGACTATTCTTCCTGAATATGATGAGTTTATTCTGTATTTCAGGTGAGAACAGGGTCTAAGGACTTCATAGAACAGAAAGTTGAATCTGCTCCAGGAACTCCTGTGAATAAGCCGATGTTCATTGTGTAAGTGTGTAACTCATATTGATTTGTTGTTGACGTGGTCCTTGATAGCTGTGTACAGTATTAGAAATGTTACACTTCAGATTTATAGGAGTTTATGATGATAATTCCATCAGTATCAGCATTGATGTGTTTTGTTGTCTATTTTTGTAATTTGTCATTGTCTTGTGTTTGATTTCATTTTGTATGTGTGTGTGCGCGTGTGTGTGTGCAAACATGTATCAAGAGTGAGAGTGAGTGTTTACCTAATTATGGTTTACACAATAGAGTTCTAGTTCGTGGTGCACCCCGTCTTTCTTCGCGTATTTATCATACTTTTTTATGCTTTTTTTACACATACAATATTTCATTCTGCAGTGTGCTTAACAATCCGCAACTTACTTAAGAAGAAAACTTTCTCGCATCTCTCCTGCAGTTGTTTTCTGAGCAAGGCACTCGTCAGTTGCTCCCAAAACAGAGCTAAGGTCAACTCTGAACACTGATCACATCCTGGTTCTAATTATTTTTGCCCCCACTGTGACAAGGCACTTTTCAAATGTGTTTACCATGTAGTTGGGAAGGGAAGACAGTAGATGAACTTGCTCAGTCCATTGAAAGAGACCTCTTGCTGTGACACCAAAGAACATTGCAAACCTCTCAACACCTTCAAGTAATAATTACAACACAAGGTAAGCTGATCATGGCTCAACACACTACTGGGGAAACTACCCCATACCTGGTTACTGTGTAGGGGTTGTCCAAGAAGGTTTGGAAGCCTTGTACAGCATCTTGTCTTGGGGTATTACCTGTGAGGCAAAGTTCCCTTTTCTAGGGGGTGTGGATTTTATGTTTCTCCTGCTTGTTAATACTTTTTCTTCTTGATGCCCCTATGAGGCATTTCCAGCTTCCACTGGTTACCTTCCAATAATTTCGGGGCTTAGCGTCCCCGCAGCCCGGTCCTTGACCTGGCCTCCTTGCTTCAGTTTCACCCTGTTTCACAGGTTTTCTACAGCTCTTCTTGGTTTTATCAGATTTAATGGTGGCATGTCTGTTTTTTGTGCTGCTAGGCTAGAACTGTATATTTATGATGTGGTTTGGTTCCAGACGTGCCTGTTTGTGTTGGGACTGATCTCAGTAAGATTTTCTGTATGGTGTCTTCTGGTTCAGGTTCTTCCTGTAGCTTCCAGGCTTGAGTGTTACTGATTTCATTATTTTGCTCTATTGTTGATTCACACATGTTACCTGGCCCCTTCATATTCATTTTCTGAGGCTTCACCTCTTTTTGGATCAGCATCTGTCACTCTTCCAATCGTATCATGCTGTCTAGGTGTGATTTTAGCTGAACACATCTCTGTTGTTTTTGTGGCCTTTTTGTGGCCTCTTAGGCTGCTTATGTTCCTTCTGAACTGTTAGGGGGTATTCATCTGTGATCTTATTTCTCATTCTTAATGGTTTCGAGTCTTCAGCAATAGCTGCTCAATTTCTGGCTCCCGTCTAATTTCTCTTGCATTAGGCAGTTATGTAGGAGGAGTCTATGCATTCCATCTTTGAAGGGCTTGTCATTCTTCTGGTCTGGTGATTCAGGTATATTGGTTGCAGGTATCTCCTGGTCTGGTGATTCAGGTTTATTGGTTGCAGGTATCTCCTGGTCTGGTGATTCAGGTTTATTGGTTGCAGGTATCTCCTGGTCTGGTGATTCAGGTTTATTGGTTGCAGGTATCTCCTATCTTCCTTGTCATAAATGACTGCTTGTTTTTTACATAATTCTCTGTGCTTTACTGCTTCTTTGCCCAGTGGCTGCTGTTAAAAGCTTCTGCAGTTTCCACCTTTAATGTTGCACATAATTCTGTGATTCTTTCGGACTCGGTACGGTTGGTAGTAATTGTTGAATGTAACGAAACACCCTTTTTGGTGTGCCATCAATAGCTTCCCACTCCAGTAATGATCCCTTGTATCCCATGGGGTGTTTGGGGATAGTTGTGGCAGCTCATGATTGAGGTAGAGATCTGGCCAGGAACTTGGGGGACCTGGGCCTCCATCTGGTGGTGGTCGGGTGCATCATTTGCCTAGTGTTATTTCTTTCTTCAAGAAGTAGATTGTTTTATTTTGTTTAACCTCTCTGTTGGGTTTTCCTTGGTTTTGGATTCATCTCTGATCCTCGGTTTCCCCTCGCTTCATAGAGAAAGCCAGATTCTGGTTTTGGCTCCCAGTAGGTCAGCATGGGTCTTGGAGGGCTGGTGCCTTTCTAAAGGCTTGGCTACATCTGCTTCGTAAGCTGCTTGTGAGAGCCTCTGAGGCCCCTCCAGAAAGGCATTTCATTACATTCAACACTTATCATTCCATTCACCTGGGCTCTTGGAGTCTTGAACCGTGGACCCCACAAAGGCTGAAGCTCTATTGACTGGGCTTAGTCTTAAGGAAATTAATTCCTAAATAAAGAAAGTGTTTTATTCAACACTTAACTTTTATACTGGTTTTCAAATGAAAATATGTAAGTGGAATCCTAAATTTTCCCATTCTGGATCTGATCTAAGATGTCTTCAGGAAACCTGTGCAAAGGCAAGTAATGCAGTATAGTACATTAGCTGATCATGAACTGCCTGTTGATGTTGATAAAAGTACTGTAACAATGAACAGTCCACGGCACATTCTTTTGACTTTTCTTTTCACCTCAACCGGATATAATAACTGTGGATAGCGGAAAACCCTTCTCGGCAAATAATTTTGAAAAATCACTCCAGCTTATGTGATTTTACATTGTTGTTTGGACTTAATAAGAAGTGTGGGGAGGGCCATAAACTCCTAAATTTCTCGGAACCTAGATCATCTCTTGGTAGTCCTCACAGTGCCTAATGGAACTTTCCATGTAATTTGGTATCAACATGTGCACATATTCTATCAGTTGCATTAAAATGAAAGGATAAATTTAATTTGTTAAATAGTGATTAAATAGACCATAATTTCATTCGGCCAAGTCAAAGTACTTGGAGGTCTCTGTGCTTGTTAGTGCCAAAACCCGGGGGAACCTGGAGGTTGTGTGTAGATTATCGTAAACTGAACAAGAGCACTACTGTTGATGTATTTCCAACATAGTCTTTGGGTAGTCCAGATCGCCATGTACAATACTGTAAGCGATTGGGTCTGGTCCCACTTGATCTACCTTTGAAAGCACCCACTATATGTTTCTGTACAATACTGTACTTCTATAAATACGATACTTCTTGAAAACAAGGCATCGTTTTAAAATTGTAATGTTGCGAATTTACTGGAACAGTACTGATTTTCTTTTTTCCAACAGTGGAGAGTCTCCACCGTCCTCCATGGAAACCTCTACACCAATAAGGCCAAGGTCAAGAAATCATTTAAATCATGTAAGTTTTTGTTCACCTTGATTGTTTTCCCAAGTGTAATGCCTACTGCCACAGTTCAGTAATCTTGTACTGCATAAATTAAATAACTGATAAAGATATCTAATTTCTAGAATATTTCAGGACAATTATTCAAGGATATAAACTGCTTTTAATATTTAAAATATAATTTTATAAAAAATAATTAACGTTTAACTTTGTAAAATGTTTTTAACATGTTTTGTGATTCTAGGTTGATGATGGTGAAACTAATTTTATGAGGCCAGTGATAACGACAGAATTTGTTGAGTGGAGTGCCAAGATATTTATCCTTCCTCGACAAAAGTCCTCTAGTGACACGAACTCCAATACTTCCTCTCTACCTGGCTATTCAGAGAGGTAAAATTATTCTAAACCAATTTCTTTATTTCAGTTATCAACTGGCAGACACTTGAGAATAAAAATCAAGTTTTGAATATAATAAAAGGCCTTTTTCTGGAGCTTAACTCATGTTCCTTAGCCCAACACTCCAGGCCTCTTGAGAGCCAATGGGCACCTAACAAGTGCCAACACCAGAATGTAACTCATACTATGAGGTAAAGGCAGAGATTCAAGATTGCCCAGTAATAATCATATTCTACACTATTTCATGATACGCGTGTCATCTTGCCTTTTTGATCTTGACTCTCTTTCGGAACATGTTCATTAGGGCACTTGAGAATATAATCCAGCATGACAATATCAAGACATGGACAAGCCATATCCTTTGCAGTGTCTCAGACACTAGTAAATAAAACAAGGAGGCCTAATGTGGTTAATGAGTAGTTTTGTGGCGAAAGATAAACTAACAAGCACACCAAATACTCTGCGACAGATTAAGAAATATTGTGTTATGTTTCTACATAGATCGCAACATTCGCGGCTGCTCGCTGAATCAGAAGAACGACGAAGTGTTGGAACAAATAAATTAGATGATCAGGTCTTCGTACATCGAAATCCTGGTTCACCAGCTGTGCTGCTTTTTCATCCTCTAGAACCTCTCCTGACTGTTGCTGATAAAACCAATGTCACGTAGGTATTGTTACCTTTTGCTATCTTTTGTAAATAGTTATCACTGTGGTTGTATAGTAGACTCCCACTTATGTGAACTGTGGACTACCGTACTAATTTTTAAGATAAAATTTAAGCTATTTTATTTATTTCATGTATAAATAATTAAAATGCTGTGCTGGATTTTTTTTACTCACATGTGAGGTGACCATGTTTTATGATAGTCACATATTGAGGGTTAAAATGAATAAAACCCATACAGGCAAAACATCATCTTCAGTAAACTTTTCTCTCAGCTGGGGGTTTCTCTGCATCATTTATGTCCTACTTAAGCAGAGTAAATGTAGCCTAAGGATGATGACTGAGGAAGATAGCTCTTTTTTTTTATTCATTTCTTCTGGCATATTTTTTTTCTATATTTATTTATACTGTATATACAAGAGTTAGTACATTCTTGTACAACCACTAGTACGTGTAGCGTTTCGGGTAAGTCCTTAATCCTATGTTCCCTGGAATACGACCCCCGCGAAGAATCTTTTTTTACAACCAAGTACCCATTTTACTGTTGAGTTAAACAGAGGATACAGTTAAGGATTTGCGCCCAGTAAATCCTCCCCAGCCGGGATAAGAACCCAGGACAAAGCGCTCGCGGAACGCCAGGCGTGCGTCTTACCACTACGCCACGGAGACCTACGCCACAGAGGCATGGTAATTCTTGCACTGGCTTACGTGATTACTTGACCTGGTGTTTTATCTGCAGTGATATTAATGTACCAATTTTAACGTTTAGGTAATGCCACCTGCTCATGAACTACATTTATTACGAATAACATATATTTTAGGATCTGGGATGTGGAGCGTAGCCATCGAGTCAGCCATTGGGAGAATAATAATGTAGGATCAAGTTGTATAAGTTCATTGGCTGTAATTAACCCTGGAACACTGTCTTCGTATGTTGCCACTGCCTGTGATGACGGCAGTGTGCGTATTTGGCGTGATGGGTTTCAGAATGCACATCACCCTACTCAAGACCCTCCTTCACTTATCACTGCCTTTCAAGCCACCAATGATATCAAGCCTGCTACGAGAGGTGAGATCAAGTCTATAAAAGCTGCTTTATCAATACTCTTATACTCTTATTATGTTTTTTATTTCTAGAAGAGTAATGTATACTCTTGAGATTAATAAGAAATGTAATGTTATTCCTCAGCTTTATCTTGCTCTTGTTAGGCCCAGTTTAGATTTTGCTGTTCAGGTTTTGTAACCTTGTTGTAGAATGGACATAAATTCATTAAACGTGTACAGAAGGTAATAGAGTAACACAGTTAATCACAAGAATACTAGGTACTCTTGTGATCTCATGTGATATTGAATCTCAACAATTTTTACTGGGTAACGTAATAGATGTGGGATTGCTGGATTGTTTAAAGCATAGATTAGACATAAATATGAATGAGTTTAGGGGATATATACAGTAGCTGCCATGTATGGGTCAGTAGGCCTTCTGGCATTTTATTATTCATATGTTCTTATGTAATTACCTTAGTGTAAATTGTAAATTTTGCTCATGGATATATTTCTATACACCTCACATTAGTGATTTACATGGATTTTCTATAATTGATGAAAAAGAGGAATTTGTGCATACGTTAAAGAGTAGTAGGATAAGCTTTTGAAGGATAGTGTGGTACAAAATGTGTGTGTGTATTGACTCTCACATCAATTCATCAGTGTGTGTGAGTCAACATACACCAATAAATAATTGAGCCATCGATTCATTCGATGACTCCAATTATTTATCAAGTTTTTTATATATATATTTGAAGTACAACTACAGTGGTACTTCGGTATAAATTTAATCCATTCCACTCAATCACAGAGAATTCAAGTGCAGTCATCACTAGACAGAATACAACTGTAAACTGATCTTACCAACTCAAATAATTATGAACAAGCACTTTGTACTCGGGAGTGAACGACGTACACCAGGGTATATTTTCCAACGAAAGTTTCATCGTACACCAAAATCTTTGTATTCAGATGCAATCATACACCGAGGTTCCACTGTATTGTTGTATAATAACAGTGTAAAAGAATTTACAATTGCAATTTTTTGTCCAGGTGCTGGATTGCTTATGTGCTGGGAACAGAACACAGCAACCCTTGTTATGGGGGGCGATTCTCGTACAATAAGATTATGGGACTTGCGTGCTGAGCGTCGCACAATGGAGTTGCCTACAGGTGGTGACAACCCAACTGTAATTACGGCAATACATTCACATCATGCAGGTAAACTGGTAAGCTGTATTGTATTAGATAGCTAAATATTTTGGTAAGCAAGATTTCCACTTCTGTTCAAAAAGTGAATTTTTGGACTTGTTAGTATAGTACTGCACAGCAGTTCTGATCTTAACCTTGTACACAAGCAAATTGTAATGGTGTAACAAACATTAACAAAAATTCTGATGATTTGAGTATAGTTTTGGACTTGGTCAAGGTTATTTTGGGGACTCCAAGACAGCAGTACTTTTGTGCTCACCACTACTGTTGTTCATATTGTTTTTGAACACTTCTGGTTGTGACTGGTGCTTGGTCTCTAGTTTTGCTACCGCATACCAGGTGCATGAATGACTATGATAGCTACTTTGGACCCTCGAGTCACCCAAGTTGCTATTTTATGGCAGGAGAGTGGACTTAACTACTGTTTGGACCTAAACAAGAAGTTCATAGTTAGAATCAGGGCATGCTTTACCTTTCTTGTGGGATTTCTGTTGGTAATGTGGTAATCTTGTATTTTCAACTCACTTATGCCTTTATTGAGAGGGTCAGATTCTGGCCCGGTGTCCAGTAGGCAGTCGTGATTCATTTGAGCCTGGTATGGTACCTGGGTTTGGAGGATTCCAGGTAGGTAATGCAGGAAGATACAGCAGGAAGCCCTCCCAGAAAAGATTTTGTAATATAACATTTCAGGTACAGTATTTGCACGTCGTGCTATTCTGGTATATGTTTCTTGAAAAATATATCTAGACTTCATCCAGAGGTCAACAACAAGAAATTGTATTTTATCATAAATTAACATTGCAATTTCTAAATTTTCTTATTAGTTTTTAAGCAGGTTCTAAGCTTGCTTTTTTAATTATCTAAAGAGCTTATGAAATTAATTTTGTTTCTTGTTATTCAGTGCTTGTTATTTAAAGATTAGTTATTGTTTAATTTTCTTTATAGGCCCATGGATTGTAGCTGGATTCTCAGATGGTTATGTGCGACTGCTGGATCGTCGTCTAACCAGTAATCGAGCCGTTGTTCGGCAGTGGCGAGAACACACCTCTTGGGTCATTAGTGCACATTTACTCAATTCTTCACAAGCGACCACCAAGATTATCACTGGAGTGTATGTTTATAGCAATTTTATGACTAATAAATGATAATTATTAGCTGTTGCTTTATGCAGAATTGCTTCTGATAATAAAATATGTTGAATCTCTCTGTAGTAACTTGAAGAATGATTTTAGATTGTAGTGATAGTTAAGGTTATTTCCTATTGTTTATAAGAAACTATTATTTTATGTAATTAATAGTTATATTATCTTCTGAAAATTTGAAAGGATTTTCTGGGCTGCCCCCCCCCCCCCTTTCTCCCTCCTTAGTAGCTTCTCTGTGCATTAGACTCTGGTATCAGAGATACACAATACTACCATATCTCTAGACTTGTACAAAAACAAAGTCTGGTTTGCTTGTCAAGGTGAATGAAGTGTGGGGGCTCGGAGATCAACCAAAAACTTGTAAAAAAAATCTTTACTGGAACGAGGATAACAATAAAACAAAGAAATTGGTAGTTTTCCAATGATAAAGCAAGAGTTAGTTTGCTGATGGTAAACAATAAATGTACCAGGATACATGTGTGCCACGAATAGGCAGCTCATATCACTGGTGAATCCAGCCGGCTAGCACTTTCAGTCGTGACTGGTACAGTACTACATATGACATGCCAGCCTCTGCAAGGACCTGGAATTCTTTTTTCTAAATAAGTAGAAGACCTTAAAGACACAGACGGGCTACCAAGACCCGGGTGAGGCGTGTGAACACGCAAGGAGCCAGGTTCAACCCAATTTTAGTATATGTACTGCCAAAGCGAGTACCCAAGTCATAATCACATCAGCCGAGAACTGAAGGGTGGATCGCCGGTGCAGTGGGTCTGGGGCTCCCCCTTCCCCCTCCTGGGGAGGGAACCTCAGAATGGGAGACATGTGGTGCAGCACGTGTGACGTCATGCTTGTTTGCTCGTTTTCAATTGGGAGTTTTGTCCATTCGTTAGTCTATTTTCGTCATTTTATCCAGAATAGCTGTTTGTTTTGAGGCGCTTACTTTTCTGGATTCCTGGCCAGGTTGATGGCAGACATAGAATGCTCCAAATCCCATGTGCATTTCTATAGGCTATTGCTCCTCGTGCCTCTCTGAGGGGGGCCAGGTTCTGGCGTGTGGTCCCCGGTAGGCCTATAACTCCATTCACACTGACTAATGCTAAAGTCTAATGATATACATATCAGCTTGGATAGCTCCGAGGACCTTCCGGGTCTCACCAAGAAAATGGCTTTCATTACATTCAACACTGGTTTTTAGGGGTGGCACTCGAGTGACTTCGATAGGCAGATGGGAACCCTTGAGTGACCTGAGCTGCCATTTAATGGTATACTTGAATACTAGCATTTGGTCTGTTGACATTAGGTAAACTATCTTCCTTGGTTTTAATTTTTGGTTTCTTTCATCAAGATACATACAGTAGTTTGTTTTGCTTCGTCTGTACGTTTTTAGAAATTTAACTTGGTTACAATGTTGATTTTAGATTCCCCCCTCCCCTCATGCTCCTCTCACCTCTGTAGCCATACCAGATTCTGGTCCTGGTGTTTGGTTGTCTGGTGGTTGCTAGAAGTCTGACAGTTTTGTGGCTGTCTGCAATACCAGAGCCAATGGACTGGAAAGCTACTGAAATTGTCCAGAAAAATTACATTTCATTACATTTAACTCTTAGTTCCAAATCCATTTTTTCCATGTATTAGCTTAATTTGATCTTACATTAATATTTTGTTGAGTGAATATATATTTTCCTTTCCAGTGTCTCGGGAGAAGTAAGATTATGGGATATGCGACAATCTAATTCGGTGCAAGTGTGTGCGCCGAATCATGAGATAACTGCTATGGCTACACATGCAAATGCTCATCTGTTTGCAACGTATGTTGATTATTTAGAGTAACAGTATTTTGCATTTGCCATATCAGTTAAATCAAACTTTAATGCCAGGAATTTAAACATACTGTATTTGTTTTTGTGTGTATTTAGCTGCCTTTCTTCACAAATGCTGGGTTGTTCAAATAGCAATCTTCTGTGCATTACACAGTTTTGGAATATTTGCAGATATAATTTTTGATTGATGTGCCATTCTTCTCTTATTAGGTTTTTCATATTACCTTATATTCATTTGTTGTTAGTATATATCCTGGTTTACAGTAAACCTTGCATACATATACATTATCATTCCCTCAGCTCCCACTTCCATAGAGTGGGGAGGGATTAGTCTGGCAGAAAAATGTAAGTAATACAGTATAGTACAAAAAATGAATTATAGACTGCAAAATAAAAAATATTACTTGTCCATTCATTCATTTTATCATTCAAAATATATCATATATTATCATGGATAAACAATTACTACAGCAATCCAGCAGTCATCTCTCATCACTCTTGGTTCATCTTCGATGGGTGTACTTGATGGTTCACAAGTTGACAGTAGTTTGTAGGACATTTGTCTTTCTTGAGGCTCTGTGATCTAGCTTCATTCCAACTGCACTCCGGTGGCTCATTGTCTCATCCGTAGTGAATCAGTTCTCTTCTGATGTGATACCGCACTTTGCATGTAGCTTGGGTTTGATTTCTCGGGGTTTGTCACTCCTTGAGGTTCACGTGCATCAAGTGTCGCATGTGCTTGTCCTTGTTGGATTGGTGAGATATTTGGTTATCGACAGGTGGACCTCTTTGCGTCGATGTGGAACTGGAGGCTTCTGGTATATGCCAGCCCATTTCTGAATCATAAGGCATTCAACTTTCACCTGGACGGTTGGATTTTGTGTGTTTTCCCACTAGTTTGGCTTCTTATTCTTTCAAGGCTGGCAACTTATGTTGGGAGGGTGATCCTTATCCTTCTTTAGTAGCTGACTTTCTGGGCCTTCCTTGATAAGCATTGCTTCTGTGCCTTCTGCATATTGATTTAACTTGGGAGCCATCAAGGTAGACTCCCAGAAATGCCTTTTTCTGGTAGGTCCCTCTGTTTTTTTTTCTTTTCTGTGGTGTTCAGTGGTCATTGCCTGGACATGAATGAATGACTAGCGTGGCTGGTTGAGATCCTCGGGTTGCCAGGGGTGCCATCTGCAAGTGAAGTTAGCTAGCATTTGAACCCAGATGAATGTGAATATTGTTTACACCAGGGATGAAAATATTGTACAAGCAGCTGCTCATTTTGGTGCATTCTACCTTTCTGGTAGTCTTCCCTATGCATTTATTGAAATGACCAGATTCTGGTCCAGGTTCCCACTAAATGCTCTGTTCGTAATTTGTTAGAGCCTGGTGTGGTTCTCACTGTTTGGAGGATTCCAGGTGAGAAGCTTGGGGTGGCCACCACACAACCTACCTGAATAAAGCATTACCTTCATTGTTGGATTTTTAGCAAAGATTGTCTCTTTCACCTTACAGAGACCTTTCAGTCACTGATGATTGGTTTGTCTACCCAGGTGTTCACCATAAGTTGTATCCGGTTGGCTTGATGTGGTGTTATTGGTATGTGACATGTTCTACTCGAGTGGATGTTCTGAATATTTTATCCTTCATCTCAAATACCTTGTTCCAAGGCCCAGCTTTCACAGGTGATTTGAAGCACTGTTTGATTCAGCCAAACTAATGTCTATTTACGTTCTCGTGATTTACTGGAATTCCTTTCTTATACTGTATGTCCGTGGCTAATATCTGAGCTGAAGCTCTTCTTTCTAGAGGCTGGAGCCTGAAGGGTAAACTCTTCTCTGTTTTTCACTTTTCTATATATATGATTTGCTTCAACATAAACCATCTTCCCCCACTCTGAGGCACCATTCCATGTTCTCTGCAAGTCTAGTCCCACCTAGATTTTTTTTTTTAAATCTAATGAAATTACATTTATGTTCAGCCCTTCAGTTGCTACCCAGTCTTGCCTTTTATTTCCCTTTTTTCTGTAGGTTTTATGGGGTCATATTCTCAGCTTGTGAATGAGGTGTTGTGGATCTGGACCTCGGGTTGCCTGTGCTGCCACCTAGTGGCAGCAAAGTTCACCTGTGGCCAAATATTGTTTTCATTGTTTTCCCCTCATTTCATTCCCCTATTTCTAATAGTTATGTGTTATATTTTGTCCGGACTTTCTCATTGGTTTTTCTTGGTTGTTAAAAATGGACCAGGTTGAATCAGGGCCAATTCAGGTTCTGGTTTCCAGTAGGCCTGCTTAAGTCTAAAGAGGTCTGGTACAACGTGTAGGTTTAGCAGTACCTGCTAAACCTTTAAGGTCTGAAGAGCAGTTAAGGGGCCAATCTAAAAAGGTATATTAATTTCAATCAGTATTTAATTTGTTTAGCTATTATTCACTTTTGATTATTTCATCTTTCATTAGTATCATACAAGTGTTTACTTTGTCTTAAATCTATAATTAACAAGCTAATTTTATTTTTTTTCCAACAGTGGGTCAGTTAATCAGGTGATTGGTGTCCACCATGCAAGTGGCTCCTCAGTTAATGTCATCAAGTATCACGAGGGATTTATGGGTACGCGTATTGCTCCTGTGTCCTGTTTGGCTTTCCATCCACGCCGAGTCCTCTTGGCTGCTGGCACCACTGACAGCTACATAACTGTCTACGGACTATCTCGAAGATAGTGAATATTACTTTTAGCTTATGTTCATAATTAGTAAAGTGATTAGATTGTTCGTAGATTTTTATGTAGACATCCATGGTAGGTGTCCAAGATTTTTTTGGCCATAAATACCATGTCAGAGTTATGTGCATATGTAAATTATAATTTAAATAATTGTTATGAAGATAATCCTAAGACATGCAATTAATAAGAATGTATTGTGGAATTTATAAAACAAAAAGCAGTAAACCCTCTAATGAGTGAAATACATAGGAGGAAGGAGGTATGTTGTACACTAATTCTTTCCCAATAAATTTATATGCTACGCATATTTTGTTGACACTTGTAGAAGTATACGTGGTTAAGACTTGTAGTCGTAAATGTTTTATGTATGTATGTTTTTAAAGAATCATTATACAGGATGAATTTTGTTATACAGCATCCTTAGTATTAGCTGTAAAACAATAACGTGGCTAAAGTAAGTTGACCAGACCACACACTAGAGGGTGAAAGGACGACGACGTTTCGGTCCGTCCTGGACCATTCTCACAATTGACTTGAGAATGGTCCAGGACGGACCGAAACGTCGTCGTCCCATCACCTTCTAGTGTGTGGTCTGGTCAACTTAGCTGTAAATTTGTCAAAATGTATAATTGGTGGGATTGCCTTTTAGAACTTAAATTGATGTGAGGAGTTATGTGGTATGTTATTAGTTACTAATTACTAGTATTAGTTACTATCTTTACAGTAACACCTTTTGCTGGTATTAATTTTGAACTATTCTTGTTTTTTATTTGGTTTCAAACAATGTCTTTAAAGCATCATAAGTGACTAGTTTCAGACTTAAACACATACCTTGGCATTTTATGATGTTAATTATTGCTTTTTGATGATAAACATTGTGGGAACAAAATATTTGTTTAGACGATCTTAAATTTTTTATTACCTCCCAATTTACCTCTAGTTTAGATTATTTCTTAGTAGTTTGTGGTATGCTTTATTTGTTGTAGGTGATATTGCCTCAGGGTTTAAATGTGAAGAAAAATATTTCTACATTTTAAGGAATTCTGATTGCTTCCAGTTTTGTCTCCAGGTGTGCTTCAAATTTTAACTGCTTGTTCTATGGCACTTTGCGTGATATTGGGGTAATTGGAGTACTTGGTAGCTATTGTATTTTATAACTTTACTCTTTTTCAGGAATAGGTTTTCATTGCTTAATAATAACAACAACTTCTTAGTATATCAGAAAGCTTCATAGTGAACAATGCCAAACTATATATTTGACCAGCATGTGGCTGTTTTTACCTTGTATTCAAATTAGGTCAACTTGCCCCTATTGCATAACGAACGTATTCAAAACAGGACTAGTTTATACCTCTTAAATGTTTCCAGTTAAGACAGGTACATTTGGGGTTAAATGTTATTAGTTATACATAAAATACCACTAATTGTGAAGGTGCAGAGTCAAGTCCCATGAATCACTTGAGCATAATATAATCATGATACATGTTACAACTAAGGCCATGATAACATTACTAGCTACTGTTTGCTTGAATTAGGGGCTCATTGGCGTAGCTTTTGTACTGCTTGCACAATGAATTACAAATTGCATGACACATGTTTTCTTTCATAAAGAAAGCAATTGATCAATTATATTTGTTTGTACTAATTAGTATTTAGAATTTTGAAAGGTAGCAAATTGTATTGCACAATTTATTGAAAGAAAATATGTAAAAGCCAGCATTGTCAGCAGTGGTGAAAAGAAAAAGTGCCTGTCAGTTACGGTTGAGTAATATTTTCAACAACATTGCACTGTATTTTGTAAAGGAATCTAGTGAAGTGGTCTCGCCTTCATTTTAAGGTCTCTCTGAATGCACCTCTATTTTGGGCTGCAATATCCAAGGATGCTTACAGGTATGTGGAGTTAGAATTTCAGTAGAAAGAATATATGCTTATGTAGTCATTTATTTGTAGACCGAAAGTTTGCAAACTGTAATAGTTTTGTTCTCATAATGTGCATTTAAAGCCACCATGTATTTCATATTAGTTATACTTAAGAGCCTTGTATTATATAAAATCATAAGTCATTAGGTAAGTTTCAAATCCTAAAAACAAAAATGTAAGTTTTAGCATAGGGTTTTAAATGGGGGTTAAAACCCTTTTCTGCTGGCTGTACAGATGGCCCCGGGGCTTTCATATAATGGCAAATATCGCATGTGAAGTGCCTCAACGTACCTCCTTCAGTATAACCAATCATCTTAATGTTGTGTATCCCTTCAGTGCAGCTAGCTGTGTCATCAGTCTTATGTAAATAAGATGCAGTGTGTGTGTGTGTATATATATATATATATATATATATATATATATATATATATATATATATATATATATATATATATATATATATATATATATATATATATATATATATATATATATATATATATATATATATATATATATATATATATATATATATATATATATATATATATATATATATATATATATATATATATATATATATATATATATATATATATATATATATATATATATATATATATATATATATATATATATATATATATATATATATATATATATATATATATATATATATATATATATATATATATATATATATATATATATATATATATATATATATATATATATATATATATATATATATATATATATATATATATATATATATATATATATATATATATATATATATATATATATATATATATATATATATATATATATATATATATATATATATATATATATATATATATATATATATATATATATATAATATGTTGTACCTAGTAGCCAGAATGCAGTACTCAGAGTACTATACAAGGTGCAATTTGCCTAATAAGCCAAGTTTTCCTGAATTTATATATTTTTCTATTTTTTCTTATGAAATGATAAAGCTACTCATTTCACTATATATGAGTAATTTTTTTTATTTGAGTTAAAACTAATGTAGATATATGACTAAACCTAACCCACCTAACCTAACCTAATCTATCTTAACCTAACCTAAACTAACATAACTGAGTAAATAATTTATGGTCTTAATATAATACAATATTAATGATTCAAATAAACTAATTGGAAACAATCTATTGAAAATAAAGACAATCACTCGACCTATTAGGCAAATTGGGCCTTGCATACTAGGACGAGAAGTGCATACTGGCTGCTAGGTACGACACACACACACACACACACACACACACACACACACACACACACACACACACACACACACACACACACATACACATACATATATATATATATACTGTATATTAATAATAATGTGTGTGTGTGTAAATCACGAAAATTAACACGTGATTAAAAGTGTGACAGTGTCAGACCACGGAGGAAGAACTGAAACAGGAATTTCCTTAAGTTCTTTCGTATTTGATACTGTATTACATCTTCAGAAGGAATCAGATGTATTATTAAATTCCTTTTGAAGATGTATTATTAAATTCCTTTTGAAGATGTATTATTAAATTCCTTTTGAAGATGTATTATTAAATACGAAAGTACTTAAGGAAATTCCTATTTCAATTCTTCCTCCGTGGTCTGACACCGTCATATATATATACCTGTATGTATGTGTGTGTGTGTGTGTATGTCGTACCTAGTAGCCAGAATGCACTTCTTGGCCTACTATGCAAGGCCCGATTTGCCTAATAGGCCGAGTAATTTTCTTTATTTTCAATAAATTGTTTCCAATTAGTTCATTGGAATTATTATTATTATATCATATTAAGAACATAATTTATTGACATTTGTTAGTTTAGGTTAGGATAAGATAGGTTAGGTAGGGTTGGTTATGTTCGGTCGTATATCTTTGTTAGTTTTAACTCAAATTTAAAGAAATTAACTTAAGCATAATGAAATGGACAGATTTATAATTTCATAAGAAAAAATATTATAAAAATATATAGATTCAGGAAAACTTGGCCTATTAGGCAAATCAGGTCTTGTATAGTAGGCCGAGTACAATGTTCTGGCTACTAGGTACAACATGTGTGTATGTGTGTGTGTATATATATATATATATATATATATATATATATATATATATATATATATATATATATATATATATATACACACACACACACACACACACACACACACACACACACACACACACACACACACACACATGCATGCAACAATGATCACAACAATACTGATCCAAGTTTGCAGAAAAAAAAAATAGAGAATGCAGTGTGTTTTCAGCTCAGATTTGCCTTCCTCAAAACAATATAGAGAATGAAATCTCAACCTCTCTCTCTGTCTTACTCTGATAAAGGCGAATTTAGCCAAAAACACGTTCAGCATTCTCTAATTTTTCAAATGTGGTTTTTCCGCACAAAATAAATATATATATATATATATATATATATATATATATATATATATATATATATATATATATATATATATATATATATATATATATATATATATATATATATATATATATATATTTTCTGGTTTAGGGCTTCTATCCCTCTAACTATTTTCTTAGCATCAGGGCTTAATTGAATTAAGGGCTTAATATCAATTAAGCCCTGATGCTAAGAAAATAGTTAGAGGGATAGAAGCCCTAAACCAGAAAATAATAAATACAGAATATGTGGTCATATTCAATGAAACATGTTTGAAAGAAAACCTGCTGCCAGTATACACCAATATATATATATACTGTATATATATATATATATATATATATATATATATATATATATATATATATATATATATATATATATATATATATACACACACACACACACACACACACACACACACACACACACACACACACACACATGTGTATACCAAATATATACAAAGCCCAGGACCAAAGAGCCAGAGCTCAACCCCTGCAAGCACAACTAGGTGAGTACACACATCTTAGCAAAGCACCAGATCTCATCCATCACAAGCACAACTAGGTGAGTACACACACACGAGTAAGAGGCCCCTTGGGGGGCTGAGTGGACAGCACTCTAGGGTCGTAATCCTAAGGGCCCAGGTTCAGTCCCAAGCCAAGGCAGAAACAAATGGGCAGAGTTTCTTTCACCTTAATGGCCTGTTCACGTAGCAGTATATAGGTACTTGCGAGTTAGACAATTGCTACAAGCTGCTTCCTGGGGATGTGTGTGTGTGTGTGTGTTAGTGAAAAATTTATATATATAGTAGACATAATAGAGGAAAAATAAATTGGTTAGAAAGGCGGAGTCCAAGAGATATTAGCTCGATTCTGAAAATACAAAAAGTAAATACACACACTCGCACACATTACATGCATGCATGCATACATACATACATTCATTTATGTATACATAAACTGCTTACCTTAAAATTATGCTTGATAAGAGCTACCAAATATCAAGTTAACTGAGATGGCTTCAGTTGCCCTCAAAACTTTTAATTATTCAGGCATTAATTGGAGGGTTTACTGTA